TTATGATGATAGATGCACTTTTACGATGGACAGATGCACTTTTATGATGGACAGATGCACTTTTATGATGGATAGATGCACTTTTATGATGGATAGATGCACTTTTATCAGGATAGATGCCCTTTTACGATGGACAGATGCACTTTTATGATGGATAGATGCACTTTTATGATGGATAGATGCACTTTTATCAGGATAGATGCCCTTTTACGATGGACAGATCCACTTTTATGATGGATAGATGCACTTTTACGATGGATAGATGCACTTTTATGATGGACAGATGCACTTTTATGATGGGCAGATGCACTTTTATCAGGATAGATGCCCTTTTACGATGGACAGATGCACTTTTATGATGGATAGATGCACTTTTATGATGGACAGATGCACTTTTATGATGGGCAGATGCACTGTTATCAGGATAGATGCACTTTTACGATGGATAGATGCACTTTTATGATGGACAGATGCACTTTTATCAGGATAGATGCCCTTTTACGATGGACAGATGCACTTTTATGATGGATAGATGCACTTTTATGATGGACAGATGCACTTTTATGATGGACAGATGCACTTTTATGATGGACAGATGCACTTTTATCAGGATAGATGCCCTTTTACGATGGACAGATGCACTTTTATGATGGATAGATGCACTTTTATGATGGACAGATGCACTTTTATGATGGACAGATGCACTTTTATGATGGACAGATGCACTTTTATGATGGATAGATGCACTTTTGTGATGGGCAGATGCACTGTTATTAGGATAGATGCACATTTATCACGGATAGATGCACTATTATCATGGACAGATGCACTTTTATGATGGATAGATGCACTTTTGTCAGGATAGATGCACTTTTATCACAGATAGATGCACTTTGATGGACTTCCAAAAATATATATCCATTCACCATTATAAAGCTTAGAAGAGCCAGGATATTTTTTAATATAACTCAGATTGTATTCATCTGAAAGAAGAATGTCACACACACCTATGGCTTCAGGGTGAGAAAATAATGCACTAATTTCACCATCCCTTTACTGTAAGTTAGATAAGTGAACATACAAATATTCAGAAAAATACATAAAGAACAGCAGCACGCAAATATGTATCGCATCCCACTCTGAATATCTTAACGTCACAGCCTTTTTCTGTAAGATCCAGATTTGTTGCTGAATAAATACAGTAAATGTTCATAAGCATGCAGCAGCCGTGTCAGTGTGTTGCTGTGACTGTATGAACAACGAACACCGCCGAGGCATTTTTTGTGAAATATGCATGATTTTGTAAGCAACGCTGTTTGACTGCCAGCCTGGAGAAAACGCATGAGGATGAGGGGAAAGAGTCACACTGAGAACAAAGAGAGCGAGATAAAACCGAGTAACAAACACGTTCACACTGATCAACTGTGAGCAAACTGAGAAGTTAATGAAGAGATGTGCTACAGACTGTCTTCAGAAACTATTGGGCTTATGATGAGAAGAAGAAGCATCAAGTTGTTCCCCACACACACACATTTCCTTAGAGAGGAGAATATGTTGATGGTGTTTAAAGGCGCCACAGCCGATTTGAGATCTAAAATAAGATCAATATAATTATTTGAATCATGTGATGAGAAATAATTGAGTGCATATTGAGAAATCATTTTTTTTCTATCTAATCATGACCTTCAAACTTGTGCTCAAACTACTGTACACGAGACCCATATAACCTTCAGACTTCAAGGCTTTGTTCTGCTTTCACACACAAGCCTTTGTCAAAGTTTGTCTTGATGAACTTTCCTTCTGTCTGCTCTTCAGGCTTCGTTATCTATTCTATATGTTGTCTGAAAGGTCTCGGCCCCTCTCAAGTTTCAAAAGAATACTTGATCTGATCATATTCATATCTGCCTAAAACTTTCCATATCTGCATGATTTGCATTACGACCGGATCTGTTCATGACTGTGAGAACAGTGGGCGAGGAGTCACAGGATTCATAACAGCGAACGAGAGATGCTGATGATGTTACAAAACCAAAACAATATTACAAATATGCAATAATGTCAACACTTACAATAACTTACTCGGCCAGATTGTCTTCAAACTGTCACTTATTTACTGTAAAGAAATTACTTTCACTGTAGTCATCAAATATACATTACCGTAAATTGATCAAAAGTGAGACATTAAAGACATTTATAATTTTACAAATGATTCTATTTTAAATAAATGCTGTTCTTTTGAACTTTATATTCATCAAAGAATCCTGAAAAATACTGTAAAATGCATCATGGTTACTGTAACACAAAAATAGGATTTAATGATAATCATAAATGTTTTTTTCAGTATCAATGGATCGATGGATGTATAGATGGATGATAGATGGATTGATGATGGATGGATGGATGATGGATGGATAGATGGATTTGGATGATGGATGGATGGATGTATAGATGGATGAATGGATAGATAGATAGATAGATAGATAGATAGATAGATAGATAGATAGATAGATAGATAGATAGATAGATAGATAGATAGATAGATAGATAGATAGATAGATTTTTATAATGATGACGATAACGTGATTTACTTTCAGGTGTTTATGTTGCCGTGTGACCTGTGTACTTAAGCCGATTGGTTGCTGTGTGTGTCCTCTGTTTCTCTCTCTCTCTCACCCAAAAGCCTCATGGGATATCAGGCAAGTGACATGTCAAGCCTTACGTTTTATTGCATGTGATTTGACATCAATAAAAATGACACACAGCCTCAATCGCTAAAGTGCTGCAAACTCCGGCGGAGAGCATTAAACTCAGTGTTTCATGAGGGAAGAGCCTGAAACACACACTGAGCCGTAACACACACACTCACACACACACACACACGTGTTCTGATTAGAAGCTGTCAAGAGTTAGTGCACTTGTTTCATAGGGTGAGAATGAGCGCTAGCAGAATCATAGTTATAATCATGTTTCATTAAAGCTGTGATCACGACATTGAAGCACAAAACACTGAATCAATCACGCAAACTTCACCAAATATCAGACAAACTCAAAGTCTGCTGTAAAACAACTTCAGCAAGATTATAGTGTCATTTATTCAGCTTAACTCAACCGAATATTCAATGAGTATTCAAACATCCATCCATCATCCATCTAAACATCCATCCATCCATCAATCCAACATCCATCATCCATCATCCATCTAAACATTCCATCTAAACATCCATCCATCCATCCAACATCCATCATCCATCTAAACATTCCATCTAAACATCCATCCATCCATCCATCCATCCATCCATCATCCATCTAAACATCCATTCATCCATCATCCTTCCATCATCTATCATCCATCCAAACATCCATCCATCCAACATCCATCCATCCATCTATCCATCCATCCAACATCCATCTAAACATCCATCCATCAATCCATCATCCATCATCCATCTAAACATTCCATCTAAACATCCATCCATCCATCATCCTTCCATCATCTATCATCCATCCAAACATCCATCCATCCAACATCCATCCATCATCCATCTAAACATCCATCCATCTATCATCCATCTAAACATCCATCATCCATCTATGATCCTTCCTTCCTTCCTTCCATCCATCCATTCATCCATCATCTATCATTCCACCTAAACATCCATCTAAATTTCCATCCATCCATCCATCCATCCATCTTCCATCTATCATCCATCCATCAACTATCATCCATCCATTCATCCATCATCTATCATCCATCCATTCATCATCCATCCATTTATCCATCATCTATCATCCATCTAAACATCCATCTAAATATCCATCCATCCATCTTCCATCTATCATCCATCCATCAACTATCATCCATCCATCAACTATCATCCATCCATCTTCCATCTATCATCCATCCATCAACTATCATCCATCCATCAACTATCATCCATCCATCTTCCATCTATCATCCATCCATCAACTATCATCCATCCATCAACTATCATCCATCCATCCATCCATTCATCATCCATCCATCCGTTCATAATTCAATAGAACGGCAGTGACAAAATATCCCACTCAGCCCAAATATAAAACTGTGTGTTCATGTAAATGTGGCGTCTGAAGGGACGGAGGGTTTGTTAACATAAGCAGTAATAATGATGATCTTGTAACTTGTGCAACATCAAAGGAAAGTGAAGAAGAAAGGCACAAGTGAAGCCCATAATAATCTCTGGTAATGTGACTGTTCGGTGAACTCTTGCATGATGCTGTCAGGAGGCCGTGAGCTTTCGCCTCTTTAATCACTCAGAAAGATGAAGATGACGCTCGGGTCAGCAGAACTGCTGTGTTTGACCACAGAAAACTAAGCGTCCATTTCAACAGAATCAACAGAACGCGTGACGGAGACACAGAGGAGCAAGAGGGCAAGCTAAAGGGTTAAAAATGTACTAAAGGAACAGTTCATCCATAAAACAAAGTCTGAAAAGAAATGTTGATCCAAACCCAGATTATTTTCTTTCTTTTGTTTGATAAAACATCTGCCAAATGTAAATATCATATTTTCATATTTCAGGTCCTCTGAATATGATGCTTGATGTGAGATCTTGTGAGATCAAAGCATCACATGACTTTAAAAAGATGTATAGTACATGAGTCACAGGGTTATTAGAAACTAAAACCAGTTTTAAAAAGTTTTAGCTCATTAATCATTGATCTGATGTTCCCTGCCTTTTATTTGAGAAATGTTTGTAGTTCTATTGCTATTGCTATTTTTACGTAAATAGGTAGGCAATTTCTTTAATTAGGATTATATCCTAAATTTAAATGGACAATTTACATATGAATTAAGTGTAGAGGAAGCATTGCTTTACTTCATATTTGTACTTATTATTACTTAATACAAATTTATATTTCTTTTGTTTCGGACGCGTCCCCTTGTGGTCAGATGGGCATGGGTCACATGATCCGTCCCTGTAGCCAAACCTGGAGTGCAAACATGTGTGTGTTTATTGATTGCATCATTGGATTTGATTATATGGCCCATTTGTTTCATGGATGGATGTATCGCATCAGTTGGTAAGACGGATTAATTGCATTTTTTTGTTGCATTTTTCTGTTAAGTTCACATTTAAAAGCTAGTAGGTTCTGAATTGTTTAAATGAGTTACTGAAATAAGCACAGGAGTTCGGCTCAAAACACGAGCGAATCTTTTGCACTTATCATAGAGTTAAATACCTGGATGATGATGATGATGATGATGATGATGATGATGATGAAGGCTGGTTCAGATATTAGCTACATTATAGCTCTGCTATAGCTATTGGAAAGCCTAATGTTGAAATGAAGAGCGCGTGGTTTAGCTGCTTAGTTGTAATAATTACATTCTCTGACTGTTAAAAACGCCAACTGAGAGCCTTTCCTATCATTACTACATCCAGGATACACAATAGGCTCCAGTTAATAAGTTAGCAAAAATCAAGAGAAATATGAGATTAAGATTGTGATTAAAAGGTTTTCCCCCCTATGGGGACAGGTTGCATTTTTATAATAAAAAAATATGGATTTGGATTATGCTGATTTGCGCCTTTTAAAATTTGTAGTTACTTTTAATCTGTGTGTATATTCCATTCTATCTAGTTAGTAATATTAAACGTTATTATAGATTCTATAAACGGGTGTCTGGACTGTTGTAGAAAAACGCGTTTGACCCTGAACGCTTTCCGTTCAGCGTCCGTTGCTAAGAGACGCGTCCAAACGCTGGCTAGTTACTCAGCTCAGGTGAACGGACGCTCTCAACATAAACCAAACACGTAAACGATAACCTGCATAAAAATCAATTTTTGTCTTTGAGCTCCTCTTAACTAACAGCTGAGCTGCTGTTGTACGGCTGAGGACTTGAAATGGATCTTCGTATTCGACAATATCTATTAAAAGCTCAGGAGAAAAAAGGTAACGTTAATGCTTGCCGTTAAATTACGTTACGTGTTTTTTAGTCGATGTAATGTGATTGTTTTATTATCTTGTGATGTTAGTCGAGTGAAAACGCATTCATGAGGGGTTAGTTGTCGCACAGAGTAAGTCAAAGTTGTTTTCCATGTGTGTTGTGCAGATGTTGCGTTTGTGAGAAGAGCGCATGCGCTGATCGGATCTTCTCAGTCTGAGCTCAGGGTTGTGTGTGCTGAACAAGCTCTACAGGTGAGACTACACAACACACGTTTTACAGTCTGTATCGTAAAAAGCGTTATATAAATACAGGTAACTTGACGTCACACTCTACCTGCTCTTGTCATGGAGGTAAAAACTAACGTTAGCGGTACTTCAAAAAAATTCTACAGGGAAAGTGAAATTTATTTTGAACGATCATTAAAAAAAAATCTTTAAAAAACATCATTAAAAAAAAAGAAGATATTCTTCTTGTAAAATGCATTGAGTTTGTGCTTAAAACAAGAACAAATAGAACGCGTCGGATCCACATGCTACATCATACCAGATGTGGCCCGGATCTGGGCCGACACTGTTGCTGTCTGGGCCGACTTCTTCACACCATCATCGCTCCTGTTAGCCGGGTGGAGCCACAAAGGTGGATAGTCGCTGTGCGAAACATAAATCTAAACTTTGAGTCCATAAAAGTTTCCACATTGGTGCTCATCCAATAGCAAGCCAAGCAATTCTGTTGCCATTTCACATCAAATGTGTGTATAAATCATCTCTAATATGCTGACACAATTCAAACACACATTCGACCAACAGAAAAACGCAATAATGTGAACCGTCCCATTCCTGAGGAGAGAAAAGCTGACAAACCGAGCCGAGCAGTTGAGCAGGCTTTTGCTCAATGAGTTGTGAAGTGAGAAATCCTCAATAGATAAGCGGCAGCATATGAGCATTGTGAAGCCATTCCTCTCAGGACTGAAGTAGTGTGTAATATACACTGGGCTTGTCTGAGGTGTAAGCCGAATGCAGAATGCACTCGAGCACTTTAAAAAGTTCCATTATGTGCTTCCTGATGTGGCAACATTTTTATTGCCGACTGGGAAATATGTCTGAAGCTTAGGGGTTTCATTTGTAGAGAAGTTCCTGATGGTAAATCCTGCTGTCTTGCTGAACACTGCCTATATAGACTGCATCGTGACTGAAAGGAAACCTCATAAGTGACTGAATAGGCAGCCAGTGATTTCCAATACATAGAGATTATATTAACAATTAACATGCCAAAAATCTAAATACTGTATATCAAATCTCGTTGCTTGGTTGTTTATATCGCAAAACTCCATTATCACCCAAGCCACACACACCTGTCAATAAAGGGTCAATAAAGGGTCTGACAGATGAAAATGAATGTCAGAGCAAAAACCAAGCCTACAGAGTTGTCACAAACCTGTTCTTTGCTTTGTCATGCTGGGGTGAGGACTGTAGATTGATGTGGAAAAAGTAAGGCTGCAAAACAAAATGTGAAAAAATATTGTACCTATAGTAAATCTCATCTGCTTGATTGATTATCATCCTAAAATGTAAGTATATTATCTTCCAGCTGTAATCTGATGAATGCAATTGTACTACGGTTTTATAAACGTCATGATTTTCTGTAAAAGCTGCTTTGAAACAACGTGTACTGTGAAAGTGCAATATATATATATATTTTTTAAATATTATTTATTTATTTATTTATAAAGGGACCATGTAAAAAAAAGTATTTAAATGTTTCATGCATTGTACCGGATTTAGCCAAAGGCTATTTTTCATCCGTAGTCCCCAGACATTGACTTGACTAATGACACCCGGCTCTAATATGCACACAGTTTATTTTACAGTGTCCTTGTACCATAGTAATAACAGTAAATTATGCATATTTACATGCAATTAACCCTCAACCAAACCCTAATCTTACCCTAACCCTATAGTAAGCACATTAATATTACTCAGTACTTAAATATATAATCAAGACTCCTTCAAATAAAGTGTAACCAAAAAATGCACAGTATCACTGTAAAAAAATATTGTTGGTTTAACGTAAAAAAATGAAGTAACCTGGTTGCCTTCAAATTTTAAGTTCATTGAACTGGAAAAATTGAGTTAATACAATGAAGGAGATTGATTTAATCATCAGAAACTCAAAATATTATGTTATCTGAACTACAAAAATTATTAAAGTTGATTTGACAAAAGAAAAAATGTGATTACAAATCATGAAAATATTTTTTTTTTACAGTGCACGGATATATAAAACTCGAAAAATTAGAAGAATATCATGCAAAAGTCAGTAATTCAACTTAAAATGTGAAACTAATATATTAAATAGACTCATTATATGCAAAGTGAGATATTTCAAGCCTTTATTTGTTATAATTTTGATGATTATTTCACAATATTCTAATTTTGAATATGGGGTTTTATAATCTGTAAGCCATAATCATTCAAATTATAACAAATAAAGGCTTGAAATATCTCACTTTGCATGTAATGAGTCTATATAATACATTAGTTTCACCTTTCAAGTTGAATTACTGAAATAAATGAACTTTTGCACCATATTCTAATGTTTCGAGTTTCACCTGTAGTGTGCGTTTTGATGAATGCTTGCATTGTGAACTGCAGGAAGGCTGAAACACTCGTTGTGTGTGTGTGTTGTGTTTTCAGCTGGGCTGTAGGGAAATCGCACAGGACTGCTTAAAGATGTACTTGGAAGGGAAACCCGCAGTGAATCAGTTTCTGTGTCGAGCGTATCTCTGCCAGGCTCAGCTCGTCTCTTCACACTCCATCACCTCAGCGGTGAGTCAAAGCAGTGCATGCTGGGATCATTAAAGACTGTTCATCGGGAAAGTACAGTACATATAGCACCATCTTTTATTATGAATGACTTCAGAGCAATGATAACATAGTATCTACAGTATAACAAGGCCATGGCATCAACACACACATCTTCCTTTGTGTTCTGTTGTGCCTCGATGTTTTTTTCTCAGGGGAATCCGACGAGCCGCAGGTGGTTTATTTCTGCTTCATCTGTCCCTCACGTTTCATGTTATCCTGTTTCTCTCGTGTTGTATTTCCAGGAGGACTTGGATAAGGCTGTGATGTTCTATCTGAAGGCTATTGAGATCGCCAAAGACAAGTCCAGGTAGAGCAAGCTGAAAACACACTCTCTCTCTCTCATTAAAATACAGGAAGTGTTTCTGTTTTAATTGAGATGATTTTTCTCACCCCACTGGCAGATAGTTTTGCTTGTTTTAATTAATTCCCCCTGGAATACAAGATATAAAGTCTAATGGCGTTTCACTCCTCTAGTAAATGCATCTTGATTTAAGAATCTTTAGATATTTGGATTTGAAACAAGACGGAAATACTAAGTAAGAAAAGTGTTTTGTAGTGCACTTGGAAAGTAACAAAGTATGAAGGGAGGTCCGGCATTCATGAAAACTCTCTGCTGATGCACACGCCGCTCTCTGGTGGATAAATTAGCCAGTCGGAGATAGAGTCTTCAACCGTCTCTTTGTTGAGACTCTGCGTTCCTCACCCATCCTGCAATAATTGCTTTATTTCTCAGGGACATTGAGGTCTCCCGTGGCTCTTTGAAAGGCCGCTCATTACACTTTCACTCGGTTTCAGATCTGAGCCCAGCGTGCCGTATAAATTGAGATGTACGGAAAAATCGGATTCTGATCTTCCCAGCAGTGATAGCTTGAATTATTAATCGGGCTACTTTTATTCCCATCTCTTTCTGTTTCTCCCCCGCCTCATTCTTTCTTCATTAGATATCATTTCCTGGTGTTCAACGCCTCGCTGTTGTTCCTGCGGTCCGTCAGGCTGTTCCTGAGGCCCGGGAAGCGGCAGAACCTGGTTTCTTCTCTCACACAGGTGGTCGAGGCTCTGGAGGAGGTTCAGGATCCGGACCATGGATGGAGGGCTGAACTAATGATGTAGGTGTGCAATTATCGTTTGGCACACCATGAACAAGAAAATAATATTTCAGGCTTTCTACTTTTCACAATTAATTCAATGTGTTTCTTAAAAAAAATTAGCTTTACCTTTTACATACATGCATCTGTGTTTATTATATGTTAATTCTTCATGCCTTAAAAATATCTTGAATGTAACCCGACACCCTTGCCGCATTTAGTATGTGCGGTTCTATGAATATGCAAATGAGCCCCGCCTCCACTCACTCCACTGGTTGACGATCACACGTTGATCTGATTGGTTACAAGGTCGTTTTAAACAACATTAAACGCTGGATTTTCATCACAGGGGGACTTTGAGTTGCATCTGTAGATTACACTACATTTCAGTTTTTTTTTTGTCCGGCAGAAATCAGAAATCTCCAGAAGCTTTACATATACACCAAACTTTTAGTTTTATTCATATCTATATTCTGAAGGCTTTTGCAGAGGAGTTTGTTCATATCATGAACTGATGCTTATAACAGTTAATTCCTAAAACTGGCTGTATTTTTTCTTTCTTGAATGATAAAAAGCGATATCCAAAACGTAAAAAAGAATTTTAATCCAGGCTTCATTCAATTTAGGGATTTCCACGTAACAATTTTCTTAATGCACTGTGATCAATCAACTGGTGACACATTGATCTGTATGTCTTGCCTTAAAAATGTGGATTTAAAAAAGACTGAGTATTAAATTGAGTAATTTTCACTACAAAGTGGTGAGGAATATCTTTATGCATAGTCCTTTATGATTTTGCGGTGTAATTTGCACATTTTTTGTGAGATATGTAGATTTATTATATAGAGTTAATTAAGATTTTTTTGAGGCCGTCATGACCTTTGCAGATGATTTGGTTCAGATGTTGCACCTTCATTAATGTTGGGCTTCCAGTGTGTTTTACACCACTTTTACTTATAGGTCAACTCATATAAATCCTTATGATGTGATCAAACTCTTTTATGACCGTTTTATTGTCGTAGCCATGGAATCCTGGAGCACAACGAAAACTCATCTCTAATAAAAGTTATACGATCTTTGTCATTGATCTTAAATTGAATCGGACTCTTTGCCTTGACTCTAAAGTCTTTTGTCAAAGAGATTGCATTGGAAATTCAAATAGGCAAAGGCCTGCTGTAAAACACAGAAGATTTGTGTCCGAGTGAATGGAGAGAAGGCTCGTATTTCATGTGCTCTTTCTATTCAGACACCTTGTTGAATGTCTACTTGATGCTGGGACGAGGGAAGAAGCAGTTGCCATGGCCAAGGTCACCTCTGATTTTATAGAATCACATAAACCAGAGCTTTATCCCAGGCTTTTCTCCATACAGGTACATTTTTAAGGATTCTCTTATATATTGCATGCCACTTCCGTTTATTTATCGTGCTCAATCTGCTGCAACCTTCATTAGCTCAGGCTCTTCTTCATCTTTTGTTTGCTTTATTCTCCTTAGAACTATAATGTTTTTGGATAATATTTGTTCTTAATTAATAAACCACCATCTGGTTATTTACTCAACATGTTTTGGTCTCGCAGTACTGCTAATATTGCTCATTTCCTCATTTGTGAGTTTATCTGCTAATTGAATGAATGCAATTGTGCTAAATGTAAATGTAGTTACTGGCTCATTGCGTTTCCTCCGCAGGTTCGACACAACCTCATGGATGTCTCTGAAAAGCTGAATGATAAAAACCCTAAATTGCTCGTGATCTACAAGATCCAAAAGCTAAAACAGTAAGGAGGATTATTTCTCTCGTCAATATGTGAACAGCTGCGTTTCATTGTTGTAACTTTACAACTTCTCCACTTCTCCAATGAAATCAACACGTTAAAATATTTAATTGTTATCAAACAGGTTTCCTAAAAACTTGGCATGTCTGCCATCGGTTGGACAAACAGGTAGTCCAGTTTACATGTTGAGCAGCTCAAACAAACACATCAATGTTTTAAAACATAAATATGGTGCATGTCTCACCTATTTCAGCAATTTTACCATGTTTAATGTATGACAGCAGCCTGGAGTCTCTGTTTCACTCTTCTGAATCTACGAATAACTCTCATATAGTGACTCTGAATATTAAAACAGAAAATATTTTAAGGACATACAGCTTTTTTGCAGAACATTACTTTGTTTATTTTAAATTTGGCTCTTTTTTTTAATTTTTTTATTAAATTTTTATCTTCAAAAGACAAACTCCATTAGCTATGTTTCCATCCAAAGTTGTGTATTTAAGTAATGTGCAAAACTGGAATATTGCATAAATCATTAGCAAATTTAAATCCCATGATGTTTTCTAGAGAACAATATTAACACTTCCTGGGAAATTGGCACTAAATATCAATCATGAAACTGTGAGTTTCTGCAATCTGACTCTTTCCCCTCTCTCATAAATGAGTTTGTCCCGGAGTTTTTGTCATTCGGATGCTGGTGTTTGGGAACGCAGTCATGTGAGACGCTTCTGTAGGGAATTAAACCAAATTGGAAATAAAAATAGTGGATGGAAACATAGCTATTGATGTTTTGCTACTGTGGTTTAGGTGTGTTGGGTCTTCAGATAATTTAATTGAAAGAATTGGATGTGAACTCAAAGAAATACTACAGCTTTATTCCTCAGAAACAAATTACACATGCATCAAGTGTATTCCTCGAGTCAGTCACACACAATCTCTTAAGACGTGTCGAAAGTCTTGATCTGCGTATGGTTGCAGTTTCTGCCCACCTTTCACATTTAATATAGTCACAAGAGTCAAGAGTGGCATAAAATACACAATATATGGTAACTCATTTATGCCCACCAAGGGCTTCTGTGTCTTCTGAGGTAGCAACAGTAAATCTCGCCAGCCATAAATCAGCAAAACAAGAGTGTTTATAGTCAGTGCAGTTCCTTGTTTTAAAGAAGGATGGAGGAATCTGCCCCATCATCTATTCACAGCACCTTCAGGGTTACAAATCCAGGATGCTTACAGATCTTTAATACCGGTACCTGCTTACATCTATCATCAGAACCGATGTGTTTCTTCCATACAGAAGTTCAAACCTGAGGTTTGCCTTCAAGGGCATTGCAAGCGAATCTCTGGTTTAGGCAATCTGTTTTGAGCCGCAAGGCAGCAGGGATCAGGCGACGTCTCAGACAGATGTGCTTGTCAAACTACGGTTCTGACAATAAATCTCAAAAAAGCCCGCTCTGATCCATGTCGGAGAATCTTATTTCTGAGACTGGAAATAGATTCTCTACAAAACAAGTTTTCAGGTTTCCGCAGCTGATTTCATCCTCATGGTCCATGGAGCAGCTGCTGGTAGATGCATAAATTAGCATTATTAATGTGCAATACAGTATTGATGCTTTCCAATCCAGTGATTGTAGAGTTAAAGACCCACTATCCAATAAGACTTTTTCCACCATTTGTTACATTTGTTTTTATCCAAAGTGACTTGCATTGCATTCAAGGTAAATTAAGGGGTTGCCTGGGTTAAACCCCTACTCTTTTTCTGAAGGACATCCTGGAGAGAGTCAGGAACTCGGTTTCATCCGAAAGACAGTGCTCTTTGACAGTATAGTGTCCCCATCACTTTACTGGGGCATTAGGACCCACACAGACCACAGGGTGAGCAGACCCTACTAAATGGGGTAAATGGACTGCATTTATACTGTATAGCGCTTTCATAGACCTAATGGCCACCAAAGCGCTTTACATATTGCCTCACATTCACCCATTCACACACACATACACCGACGGCGGTGTCAGCCATGCAAGGCGCCATCCAGCTTGTCTTGCTCATGGACACCTCGACACTTGGTCAGGTGGAACCGACGATTGAACCACCAACCTTTCGGTTTGAAGACAATCCACATGAACCACTGAGCCACTGCCGTCCAGGTCTCCCATCCAGGTACTGACCAGGCTCAACCCTGCTGCACTCCCTTAGAGCTGAGTGGGAGACCTTACTGTGGGCCTCCTCAATAGTCCAGTAGCGTAAGGTTTATACTCCCCTTGCTTCAAGGGTCGATAAACAATTCTGCTGCTGAGTATACTGCCCATTGGCAATGTGAAATAAATATAACCAGGCCCACAGGTTCTGTGAGAGCATCTTGTTTCTGAGGCTAGCTCTGCTAATAGTCTTGTTATCGAGTAGTTAGGCCTTAACAGGCCTCCTTGAAATCCGCTCCCCAACGAGTTGGGTGCTGAGCATTACAAAAGCATTGAGTATCACGTTGCAAGCTCCCATGTGGCCTCCTTGATTCTAGCCCAGAGCCAGGTCAATACCTACCAGGTTGAGCCTAGTACTCCAAACCTCATCTAGAGGTACTCATCTAGAGAGTACTTAGTACCCTAAGTCTGACCGGAAGGTCGAAGGACTCTTGCAAGGCCTCCCTGTTAGATCAGCCCCCAGAGCTGGAGCTACTCCCCTCACTAGGCTCCCTTTAGAGTGACCAGCCTCCAACACGCTTTGAAAAACAAGCGCTCTGTAGATCAAGGATCAAGAAACACCCCTCGTTTGCAAGAGGTCGAAAGCGCAATGCTGAGTTCTGCTCTCCAGGATACCCGTCTTTATGATCCGGTGTGAGATGGTTACTGCCACTAACAGCAGTCCTTCCCATCGGATGCCTCTATAAGTTGAGGCAAAACTCTGTTTAGGAAATAGACAGGTTGCTGGCAAAACTAGGTCAGTGAAGTGGACCAGGTCAGCCTCAATGCTTTGCATGAGCTCGGATCAGTGAGGCTTACGATCAATCAGTTCCAAAAAGAAATACTGGTCCTGTGCTAATTGAATGAAAACAATGTTGGGTAACATAAGTCACTTTACAATAAAAGTTACAGCACATTTCAGATGTTAAAAAAACCTTTTCCTTGGAATTGAACCCATCACTGAAATACAGGCTGATGGTCGACCTGCTGGGCATTGCTACCTGACGCACCTCCACCGGTGCCTTTTGTGCAGGTGTGCTCCACCTCTTTGGGCATGAAATGGGTCATCAGCTGGGGACCACCAGTCATTGATGTTTCGTTCCTTTAACCCCAGTACATCTCCTGGTGGCGGAGCGATGGCAGGGATCACTCCCTGCCACCCCCTGCTGATGCCCTAGATGTTACTTGGCCCCCATCCCTTGTGCTTCCTCCTTAGCCACAGCCAAAAGCTGCCCCTCTCAGCCTCCTCTGCCAGTCCTTTAATGGCTTTTCGACACCCATTTCGCGGAGCAGACGAACCGATTTTTCATGATTTTGTTGTTGCTATGTTTTTCTGTTTGATCTAGAGAAACACTTTTTCCATTTTCTTCACAGTATGGTTGATATCAATGAACTGAGGAGAGATGAGGTGAAGGCACTGAAGGAGGTTTTCCTGCTTCTGATGCAGTCATCAAAACCCAAAGCGTCTGACATCCAGGGCTCCCGTCCTCCAGCGCACATGCATAGCTCTAGTGCTCCACCCAACATCCCTGAATCCAGTCCTCTGCCCATGACACACAGCTCTAGTGCTCCACCCAACATCCCTGAATCCAGTCCTCTGCCCATCAAACACAGCCCTAGTGCTCCACCCAACATCCCTGAATCCAGTCCTCCACCCATTACACACAGCTCGAGTACTTCACCCAACATCCCTGAATCCAGTCCTCCACCTATCAAACACAGCCCTAGTGCTCCACCCAACATCCCTGAATCCAGTCCTCCGCCCATCAAACACAGCTCTAGTGCTCCACCCAACATCCCTGAATCCAGTCCTCCGCCCATCAAACACAGCTCTAGTGCTCCACCCAACATCCCTGAATCCAGTCCTCCGCCCATCAAACACAGCCCTAGTGCTCCACCCAACATCCCTGAATCCAGTCCTCTGCCCATCAAACACAGCCCTAGTGCTCCACCCAACATCCCTGAATCCAGTCCTCCGCCCATCAAACACAGCTCTAGTGCTCCACCCAACATCCCTGAATCCAGTCCTCCGCCCATCAAACACAGCTCTAGTGCTCCACCCAACATCCCTGAATCCAGTCCTCCACCCATTACACACAGCTCGAGTACTCCACCCAACATCCCTGAATCCAGTCCTCCACCTATCAAACACAGCCCTAGTGCTCCACCCAACATCCCTGAATCCAGTCCTCCGCCCATCAAACACAGCTCTAGTGCTCCACCCAACATCCCTGAATCCAGTCCTCCGCCCATCAAACACAGCTCTAGTGCTCCACCCAACATCCCTGAATCCAGTCCTCCGCCCATCAAACACAGCCCTAGTGCTCCACCCAACATCCCTGAATCCAGTCCTCCGCCTATCAAACACAGCCCTAGTGCTCCACCCAACATCCCTGAATCCAGTCCTCCGCCTATCAAACACAGCCCTAGTGCTCCACCCAACATCCCTGAATCCAGTCCTCTGCCCATCAAACACAGCCCTAGTGCTCCACCCAACATCCCTGAATCCAGTCCTCTGTCCAGCTCCTGCAGCTCCAGTGTTTGTGTGGATCTTGACTCGTCCATTCTACTGACTGACAGGTGCGTCTAACATTTATGATTGTCACAGCAGCATCATGATGTTAAATGAAAGATGTTTTCTATTTCCGTAAATCAAGATACATTTACTGGAGAATTAAAATGAGTGTATCAAATGTATCAAAGTCAAGTGACCAATGGAGTCAGAAAAATAAGATTAAGTCAAAAGGGGGAAAAAAATCTTTCACTTTCAAGGGAACTCACGCTGCATCGAAACCCTGTAGGAATGCCCCTGCGTGATTGCGTCTTGAAGCACGTATGGAATCAGTCCAATGGCGTGATGGAACGTCAGAAAACTGTAAAGTACAACTGAACCAAAAAATGTACATAAACCATCAGTGGGTTCTGCAAACCCTTATTCAAACTGGCTCACCGGATCCTCCTTTGGGCCCAAGGGAAACTGCTCTCTCTGAGGGCATCATATATTCCAGGGTATTTAAATCATCCTGTCGAGACGGGCCTAGGCCCGGGTAATGGAGACTCCACCCCGAAGAGGTGGAGCTCCTATGGGCAAACTTCGGTCAAGCTGAAGTAGATCTGTTTGCATCTCAAGAGACGACACACTGTCCACTTTGGTTCTCCCTCGATCAGCCAGCCCTTCTTAGGCTGGACGCTATGGTACAGAAGTGGCCGAGGCTACGTATTCCTACAGGAACTTTTCTCCGTAGGGTTATCCCCTCCACACTAAAGGTGTATGTGGCAGCAGTTCGCACAAGGAGGCTTGCCTGGGATTTGTCCATTTTTGTTGAAGGTCTTTCCTTGGCTCCCTTTGAGCCTACAGTATATTGAGGAGGTTTCTGAGAAGTTTCTTACTCTAAAGACTGTCTATCTCCTCGCAATTATGTCTCTCAAATGAATTGGAGACGTTTAAGCTCTCTCGGTATCTCCCTCGTGCCTGGAATTTGCGCCCGGTATGGTAAAGGCTTTTTTTTCAATCTAGACCTGGTTATTTTCATAAGATTCCAACTAATATTGCGAAACCTATAGTACTGCAGGCTTTCGGTCCTCCTCCCTTCCGGACCGCAGACCAAGAGACACTTAGGCTCAATCCCAATTCACCCCTTGGCTCTACCCCTTAGCCCTACCCCTCCGTTTTGCGCGTTCACGTCTAGGGGTAGGCTGTCCTGATTCTTCACGTCTAGGGGTAGGGTGTCCTGATTCTTCTTGAGATCGAGGGGTAGGGCGAAGGGGTAGGGCGAAGGCCTCGAAATGGAGATTTTTTAGAGGCACACTCCAAATGGAGGGCTAAGAGAAAACTTTGCGGAATGCATCGGAAATCACCGGCGAGATGGATCGCAAACGGTTAAACATTTAAATTTAGCGCCAGATGATTCCACCACGCACTTTATTTACTCGTATAATAACACTATAGTCGTTTAAATTAAGAAATGGTATAATAAATTACCTTTCCGATCAGAAAAGACATACATTTCGAGGAAGGGATGTTATAATCATCATGTTTATTCAAAGTTAAGAGCAGCTGCGCTGCCAGTTGTTGTCAGTTGTTGTCATGGAGAAATCCTGTACAAACTCTGTAACGGCAGAGCCATCGACTGATGACATATCGGGTTCATAAAGGGTTGTTCCATTTCGTAGGGGAATATTTCAACCCCTTGGCCCTTGTAACTCCGTTTTAAGGGCCAAGGGATACACTCGAAAACAAGGGGTAGGGCCAAGGGGTGAATTGGGATTCAGCCTAAATCTGCTCTGCCCAGTCAGGTTCTACATGTCCCTGTGAAGGAAATCTGAACAGTTGTTTTTTTTGTTTTGCGTCAACCAGAACGGACTGCCCAGCAACTAAGCAGAGGACGAGCAAGGCTATCTCACTTATGAGTCGGCCAGTCAGCCTTCACATTTGACTGTACGGGCCCACTCAACTAGGAGTATGGCTCCTTCCAAAGCTTTACTGTCAGGAGTTTCCCTCCATGTTGTTTGTGATGCGGCAGGCTGGTCCTCACCCCACACATTTCTGAGGTTCTACAACTTTGACCTCGGCTCCACTCCAGGGACACAGATGCTTTCGTCTGAATGTGAGCACTGAGTTCACACAGACGGACACTTGCTCCTATGGCGTTGTGGGTATAGTGCGTTCCGACGCAGTGCGAGTTCCCTTGAAAGGGAACATCTCGGTTACGTATGTAACCTATCTATCTGAAGAGACGCTGCATCACCCTGCCATACTCTCGTGATCGACTTTCTTCTGTCCATCAGAAGCTTACATTGTTTGGTTCAGGTGTGCTTTATAGTTTCCTGGTTGATGACATCACACGCCTATGTCGTTCCTTCACACCACTGGACTGATTCCATAGTGCTTCACCATGTGATCACACAGAGGCGCTCCCACAGCATTTCAAACGCAGCGTCTCATTCGGTTACATTCGTAACTGAGATGTTTTCTTACCACATTGGCAGATATTTGCTCTTGTTTTAAGCAAAATTCAAGGTGATTTTTTTTTTACATGTTTGCAGTAAATAAATCTTAAGGCCCGTTCACACCAAGGATGATAACGATAAAGATATAGTTTTAAAAATTGTTCTAAATATAAAAGAATAACAATAACTGCACAGAGAAACAATATCATTGGAATCACATTCAGAGTGAATTCTTTCAGCCAATGAACGATAAAAACATTGACAGTCAATTAGAATCATCCTGCTTTAAAGAGCTCGAGCATTTAAAGAGACAGATGACAAAACTGCAGTGCACTGTAAAAATGAATATGCTTTATCTAATCAATGGAATTGTGGCAACAGATTTCAAGCAATATTATTAATCATATATAACAAATTAGAATTGAGTAAATTATTAATCAAATTATTCCTTAAAAGTTAACCATTTAAAATTAGTAAAGTTTACACCAAAAAATGTAACAAAAATATCTCACTAACAGACAGATGTCAAAGATTAATTAAGAACTCTTTATTTTATATTGCCATCATTGAAGACACCTGAAAAACAAACACTGATCACCACAATGGTGACTTAAATTTATGGGTTTTTTTTTTTTGGTTGTTGTAAGTTTTACTCATTTTAAATGGTTAACTTTTAAGGAATTAATTTGATTAATTATTACTCAATTCGAATTTGTTACATTTAATTAATAATATTGCTTGTAATCTGTTGCCACAATTTTTTTGATTAGATAATAAAGCATATTCATTTTTACGTCTGCTGGCATGGATGTTAATATATTTACCGTTATAGATGTCTTTATAGATATCGTTGTTATGATGTATTTCCTTTTAAAACAGGATGTTGACACAGGTCATATGGCTGGGCTTTTTTTATTTTAATATAGCTAATAGGCTTTGGTTTATGTCTCATCTGGCAAAAATCCTGAACCATGCGCGAAACACCAACAAAATATGATTTGATACTAGATATTGCATATAGCACCATTTACAGTAAATTTAAAGCAAAAGGACATTTTTTTGTGCGCAAGTGCATTTCATTGCACAAACGATGTTGTCAACAATATTTTTGGTCCTATAAGAGAGAAAGATTAAATGCAAATGCACTAGCGTTCAAAATTCAGGGGCAGTACGATTTTTGACAGTTTTTGAAAGAAGTCTGCTCACCAAGGCATTGCAACGTTATTAGAAAGTGAAGCTCCATCATGTGAAGAAAACTTCAGAAACTATTGCTGCATCACACATGAGAAAAGCTTCTGATTCACTCTCCTGCATTATTTCCAAATGCATCTTTCATTATTCCTTTCATCATTCCTATTTGTTGAGTTGTTGTCAGTTTCTCTATTATGCAAGCACCTGATACACCAAGGGCCTTTTTATAGCAGTAAAGGCAGCGAGTAGGACCTCTCTCATCACAGTTTTTCCTCTTGGTTTCAGGGTTGTGTTCCTGATAGAGCTGGCGTTCCTCTCCCCGCAGTTGCAGCAACATGACATGGCGTTGGACTGCCTGAAGGAGCTCAGCGCCTCAAATGTCACCGTAAACAGACTCATGCTTCCTCACAAAGCGCTTCTTTCCTCGCTCCTGTTGTTTTTGTAAACACAAAGGTCTTGTGTTGTGTTCCTGAAGGTGGGTCAGCGCATAATGATGGAGTGTGTGCAGTGTGAGCTCGACCTTAACAAGAACAGAGACGGGATTGAGAATTACTCCAGATCTGGCGTGGAGGTGCTGCTTCAGACCCAGAAGCCATCAATGTTTTATTACTGTGGACTGTTGTTTATGTTTGAGGCATTGGGAAAGTATTTTTGGTTTGAAAAGTATATTAATATTTATTCGCAAACCATACAGTATAAACAACTTTGGCAGAGTTCTTCAATCCAATCCTACAGTTTTTCCCTTCTCCAGAGCTTTTCAGATATTCATGCATACATTTATTTATTTCTCTAGCACAGTTTAAAACAGCTCATGCTTGCCAAAGCATCTGACAAATGAACAGTTAAACTTTACAATTGCAAGGTTTCTTTTGTTTACGTTGGTTATTATGAACTAACAATGACAAATACTTCTAAAGCATCTTAGTTAAGGTGTGTTCAAACATTTACTAATACATTAATAAAATCAAAAGTCAGTTTGACTTTTAATGGACCTGAGATGAACAAACAAACTAACATTAATAGAGATTAAACAGTGCTGTGACAAATATTATGCTCATAGCTAATGCATTAGTATAGTTGCACAGTTAATATCGAAACATATGTAATACGACATCGGTTTAATTTTTTTCATTACCAAAATATTTTGCTAACAAAAAACAATTTGCCAGTGAGAGAAGAAAAAAAAGTCCAATATATATTCCCTGAAAACAATATTTTACACAATTGTGTTTCTCAATTAAATTAATTATGTTTTAAGTTTTAAGATATTTCTATTGGAAAACATCTAAACTCTTTTGCAGTAAAAAAACAGTTATTTGTTATTTTAGTATAATTTATATATAGTTATTGTGTATATTATCAGTTTTCATTTAAGTTTCTGTAATTTTATAGCCTTTTTGTTTTCATTTTAGTCATTTTAGTACTTCAACGTAAATATCAAAATATATGAAATATATTTCAGTTAGTAAGTTTTTTTTTGAAAGTGTCATTTTAGTAATCTAATATTTTTATTTCAGAAAATAAAGATATTAAGATAGATTTGTATTGGAAAACATCTAAACTTTTTTGCAGTAAAAAAAACAGTTATTTATTATTTTAGTATTATTTATATACAGTTAATTATCCGTTTTCATTTAATTTTTAGTTATTTTGTATTTTTTATAGCCTTTTTGTTTTCATTTTAGTAATTTTAGTACTTCAACGTAAATATCTATTTCAGTTATTTGCCATGGCAACATTTCTATTTTTTTTTTGAAAGTGTCATTTTAATAATCTAATATTTTTATTTCAGAAAACGATTTTAATAGTCTTAAATAGCCAAAATAAAACTTAATTGTTGTGAAATGTAAGTGTGAGTGCTGTTGTTTCAGATAAATGTAATGTAATGAGTGTGTTTTGATCTGCGCCCTGTCTCGGCTCTTGCAGCTGCAGTTGAGTGTGATCGTGCGCTTGGATGCGTTACTGCAGACGGCACTGAAGGCAGGAGACGCTGGTGTGTGTGAGGCGGTGTGTGTGTGTCTGTGGAACGCGTGTCTGCCGCTTCTCCAACACAACCTCCGTAAGAGAGTCCAGAAACCCCTGCTCACACTCGCTCGAGCGCTGGACTCCACCGACAGGTCTGTGTGAACACATCATCAGTTCTGTCTCTTAAATCAAGACACATTCACTGGAGAAGAAGCGAAATGAAATGACTGAGGTTAATGAGAAACGTTTCAAGTGGCTTTATGCTTAAAAACAAGAACAAACATCAGCCAAACGGGTCCGAAAAATCAACTTCATTTAAAGTTTGTTTTCTGACCCCACTCGCAAATATTTTTTCTAGTTTTAAGCATAAAGTAATTTTTTTTTAATTCAGTTTTTCTCATGAGAAAAAAAAATTGCTCTGTTTTTCTGAATTAATGAGTTAATTTTTCATGAGAAAATTTTTTTGCTCTGTTTTTCTGAATTAATGAGTTAATTTTTCATGAGAAAAAAAAGTTTTTGCTCTGTTTTTCTGAATGAATGAGTTAATTTTTCATGAGAATTTTTTTTGTGCTGTTTTTCTGAATTAATGAGTTAATTTTTCGTGAGAAAAAAAGTTGCTCTGTTTTTTTTAATTAAAACAGAGCAAAAAAAAAAAATCCATGAAAAATTAACTCGTTAATTCAGAAAAACAGAGCAAAAACTTTTTTTCTCATGAAAAATTAACTCATTAATTCAGAAAAACAGAGCAAAAACATTTTTTTTTCTTTAAGTGAATGCAATACGCCTCCGTACGGCTCCGTATATTCCTCTGTGGAACATAGAAAGAGATGTTTAGCAGAATATAAAATATCTTCATTGAATGAAAGCAGTGGGCAGAGGCTCCAAAACAAGACAAAATTCATTATTCCACATCTTCTGAAGTCTTGTGATTGTGTGAGAAACTGACTGATCATTTCGATGGCCGACTCAGACTTAGGACTGACTTTAAGTAACTTTGCAACTACATGTCAGCTAGCAATCATTCCAGTATTAGTGCTCAACCCTTGAGCGACCTTATGGACATTTGTGTCTTTTTCAGTTTAGATTTTGTTGATAATTTGCACACATTTTAGCCACAGGTGTGTATTTTTTATTTTATTGTAATTATACTATTTCACCCCTATTTCCTTTATAAATCTATTTAGCAGTAGGTACACATTAACATAGTTCCTCTCAGGACCTTACGGCTAAAAATGTCCCCATTGAAAAACATTAAAATGGCAATTTTTAATCCCAGGGCTATTTAACTATAAAATGATGCAATCTTTGTCAATAGGTTTTCAGTCTTTTAGCAAGGCTTCAAAATATTCATTTTTTACTATTTTCTACCAGATGTGCCATTTTGTCAGATTTAGCCTATAAAGCGAATTCCTTTAAGTATTTTCTGCGTCAGCATATTTGAGAGCCAATTGGGTGTGTTAGTATGGATGTCAGTGTGTGGTTTAAAAAAATGTGTGCGCTTTGTAATGTTTGAGAGAGAAAAACTCAACTGCAAATCACAAACCCAACCAGTGTGTGCACCAGTGGAGTTTTACTGGCATCTAGTGGGGAACATGTGTCACTGCGCCCAAACACACTCTGACTGAAAGCTCATTTACTGAGATGTCATCCTCAATGTGGAACACGACTTGTTTAGATTTAAGGCTTTGATTTTCTAGCAGTCTTTGAGTTTAAAATGTTTCATAAAATTTATATTTCATATAAAATAATGTTCATAAATCATTTTTAAAAACTTAAACCTCTATATAACTATTTGTGTGTGCGTGTGTGTGTCCACAGCATGCTGCTGGAAGTGTGTGGTCAGGTTCACGCTGAGCTGGCCGCCGTAGACGAGGAGGATGAGAAGCTGGAGTCGGCCATGAAACACCTTCATAAAGCCGCTGGTCTGGACGTTCCCTCTGAGCATCTGTCCTCCTCCTTACACCTCCTCCAGCTGCGCTCCTCCGGTCTCAGCGCACACACACACACTCGCTGCGAGGACCAGGCCGCCAGACTCATGCAACAGGTGCGTCTCCGTCTGAAGTACACTCGTGTGCAGGGACTTCTGGGACTGATGGAGGGAGACCAAACAAAACATCTTGTGATGTGTTTATCAAAAGAACTATTTTTAGCTTGACAAACCGTCCGTCTGATGTACATAGACTAAAAATACCAAATAACAAATCGTCTGTCTGACCACTGCAAAAAGTGCTTTTTTTACTCCGTGTTTCTGTCTTTTGTTTCCAGTTCAAATATCTAAATATTCTTAAATCAAGATGCATGTACTAGATGAGTGAAATTAAATAAGACATTATGTCTTGTTTTCTGGATAAAAAAAAACACAAGCTAAATTATCTGTCAATGGGGTAAGAACTTTTTTAGTTTTCCACTTGATTAAGATTATTTTTCACACCACATTGGCAGATTATTTTGCTTTTAATTTCGTTTTTTAAGACATTAATTAATATAAAATCTTATTTCACTCATCTAGTAAATGCTTCTTGATTTAAGATTTTTTTTTATATTTGGACTGGAAACAAGACAAAAATACTACATAAGAAAAGCATTTTTGAAGTGGTGTACACACTGTTGACTAAAAATAAAAAATAACAGAGATTAATGTTAGTTAATTAACATTAGTTAATGTATTAGATTAACTATGAGCAATATATATATATATATATATAATCTTTGTTAATGTTAGTTAAAAATAATAATGTTAGTTCACCGTTCTTTGATGAACATTAAGAAATGCAACTTTTGATTTATTAACAAAAATTACCAGTAAATTATGAAATGAACTAAGATTAATCACTAGTATTGTTCATTTTTAGTTCATAACTAATGTAGTTAACTGATGTTATGAAATGAAGCCTTATTGTGAAATGTGTTACCACTTCATTCATCAAGGACGCATTCAATTTAAAAGGACATTTATAATGTTGCAAAAGATTCTGTTCATTAAAAATAATCCTGACGAATAATGTGTATCACAAAAATCTGACTGTTTTCAACACTGATAATAATCATAACTGTGTGTTGATCATCAGATCCTCATATTAGAGTGATTTGTGAAGGATCATGTGACACTGAAGACTGGAGTAATGATGATAAATGCAGGAATAAATGACACTTTACTGGATATTCACATAGAAAATGGCTATTCATATTCTAATAATATTTTGGACTGTTTTTACTGTATTTTTGATCAAATAAATGCAGTCTTGCTGAGCAGAAGAGACTTCCTTTAAAAGCATGATATGATCCCAGTATTTGTATCGTGTGTGTGTGAGACCTCACACAGGTTTAGCATCAGAGCTGTGCTGTATGAACCTTATTGATTATGAATTATTATTATGAACAGGCTACAGAGGGAGAAGGGCCAGAGAGTTTGAGAAAGCGGCGCCCCCTGCTGGTCAGTGCTGGACTCGCTCTGGCACCTGAAGCTTTCCGAACCGTTCTCGATGCTGACCGCAAAATCAAAGGTACACTGGAAAAAATGCCCCTCCAAAAATAAGCAAAAAAAAATTAATACAAGATATTTTTGCTTGTAATAAGCAAAAAAATCTGCCAATGGAACAAGTGAAAATTCTCTTGGTAAGATTTCTTGAAATAAGACATTTTATTTAAGCCTTAAAAGATATGAGTGATCTTGAAATTAGCAGGGAAAACTCATTTTTAGCTATATTTTACTAGTATTGTGATGTTTTGTGTCTCATAATAAGCTTGTCATGCTCAAAAATAGCATTTTCCCCTCAAAAGTAGCATTTTCTTTTGTCATCCTCTTTGTTTCAAGTGTATTTAACTAATTTTTAGTTCTATAATTGTTACACTCTTCTAGATACAAGTCACCACCAACTTGAAATAAGATTGGAAACTGGCATTTTGAGACAAAATGCCTTGAAGTTAGCATTCCTGACTCATATTAGGCAGTCCTCTTTTGCCATAATAAGCCATAATTTACCATACTGTAATCATCTCAAGTGTATACCTTCTTGTAAGCTCAACAAAAGTGACATGGTTCTAGATTCAAGACATTTTACCTACTAGATTTAAGACATTAACTACTGTTTACTAGACAGAAAAAGTGAAAAATAGACTTACATTTAACCTTTTTTATTTAATTTTTTAAACCGCAAAAATTCCCAGAGGACTGCACAAAACGGTAAAAGTATTTATGGAGCTGCAATATAAAAACATAGTAGAATATTTTATAGATTATAAATGAAAAATCTCTTTACCCTACTCCCACACCTAAACATACCGATTTTATAGACAATATTAAAGGGATAGTTCACTTTGAAATTAATTTTTGATGTTTTATCTTACCTCAAGGGCATCCAAGATGTAGGTGTCTTCTTTTCCACAGTATTTTCAATTTTGACATTTTTCGGTCAAACCGTTGTTGTCTGTCAGTCATATAATGCAGGTATGGGGGTCCACGTCAAAGAGCATGCACAGAGAAGTCCAAATTAAACATGATTTAATGACTCGTAAATGTAAGTACACATTGATGGCCTAAGACACGAAACGAGCGTTTTGTGTGAGAAAACAAACAGTATTTATATAGTTTTTACCTCTTGTTCACAGCCATGTCAAACTGATCTGAATCAGATGTCAAACTGAACCGAACCGTGTCCAACATTACGCCAGAAGTGATCTCTCGCGCGTCAGCAACATCTGATTCAGATCAGTTCGACATGGCTGTTTACAAGAGGTAAAAACTATATAAATACTGTTCGTTTTCCCACCCCCTCCGCTCATTTCGTGTCTTTGGCCATCAGTGTGTACTTACATTCAAGAGTCATTAAATCATGTTTAATTTTGACTTCTCTGTGCATGCTCTTTGAGGTGGACCCCCTAAACCTGCATTATATGACTGACAGACAACACAGGTTCGACCAAAAAATGTCAAAGTTGAAAATACTGTGGAAACAAAGACACCTACATCTTGGATGCCCTTGAGGTAAGCGAAAACAAATCAAAATTTAATTTCAAAGTGAACAATCCCTTTAAAAGGATAAAACGTAATGAACATAATGTGTAGGGCAATGGCAGTTTTATTAACAATAAAGCATTAAAATATAGTTTGACCCACTAATCCTACCCTAACCCATTTCTTAAAACTATGTTACAATTGTGTGTGTCACATGTTACTAACGTTACAATTATAAATAAAAACAACAAACATAACGTTACATGTTTAAATCGCAATAATTTATTTAGTGAGAAAATGTCAAAACCGGTACCAAATAAATATCTTTCTTCTTGTTCAGCAGAAGAAAAAAATTCATAAAAAAACAACATATTATTGCAAATGAACAAAGTTGAATCAAATATGTTTCTAGAACAGTGATTAAAATTGGCTCGAATATGTTTTAGTATGTGACATGAACTCTGGTGTTGATGCACTCTAAAAACATTTAATATGATTTACTAACCTTTTTAAACTTAGAATATTGATAAAATTTTTAAGCAGTGAAAGCAATTACTTACACTGTATTAACTGAGTAAATGTTAGTAAAACAAATTAAATAGATCTGAGTAACTGCATTTGGTACATTAACAAATAAACTTGACTAGAAATAATTGGGGGGAAACATTTAAAAACAAATAATTATGAGTAATATAAACTGTGTTTATATGGCAGTAATATTAACTTTTTTTATTTCCTCTAAACCTTTGTAAAATATTCCATACAACCACCAGCATAACTACATGATACGGCCTTTATTGTCAATTAATATCCTAACATTACAGCAAACATATTTTATTCTATTTTTAACACATAAGTTGTACAATATTGACTACATCTAAACTCATGTAAGAAACATTTTCGATGTAAAAATTAAACATTTAGGCCTAAACATTAAAGTAATTCAAGTGTAATAACCGGTCTGTTATCCAGTATTCACCGGGTCAGCGCTGGTTCCCATGCCGGAGATGGACTCGCCTCTGCGGGGAAACTTCTAAATTTAGACCGCCGTCCTGCGTCACTCACAGCCGAAAAATGCTGCGACGCGACTGACTCCATAACCTGCCAATAAACAACCAGTGCACAGTTCTGAGGACATTTTATCATCCAAATTAGTTATATCCATTATCTTTAAGAATATAGTCGTGTGTTTTTTTTTTATGCAAGGCCTTACAATCACGCGAAAAGGCAGGCGCAAGTCGACACTCGTTGAGTAACATTGCGTCTCTGTATGTTCTTTTTTCATTAAATAAAATTATTTAAAGCATATTAATGATTATACAGATAAAATAAAACAAACAAACCTTAATGTCAGGTGGAAATGCTCCAATTCTGCGCCGATGAGAAGAGAAGAGGAGAAGAGATCTGTTCTTTTCTGGACTGGGAGAGTTCAAACAGCGCGCAACCGCAAGTTCAAACAGCGCTCACTCAAGTTCAACCGTTGAGTTGTTGTCACGTCAGAGGGTGGGGAGGGGTGCGTTGTTGTAATCATAGACAGTAAAATACCTTTTAATTGAGTAAACTTAATTAATTTCTTATGCGTGTTAAATAATAATATTGATTTTATTTTAGAAATATTTGTGGTTCTTGAGACAGATCAGTTTAATTATCCAGTCTCAAATATTGAGATGGAAATTTCACAAATATTAGCTAAGTGTATTTTAAATTAATAATTGGTTAGTCAAAAACTAAATTAGCCTATTTTAGTGAAAAACTTAAATATAACTGTAAATTTCAGACAAAATTAATTGTTGGAGTTTTAGTCATTTATTTCGGTATATGTTCAACTCAAACTATTGAGTAAATTATATTCAGTTTAGTTAATAAAGACTTCAACACTTCAACATTTAGGAAAGTTTTTTGTTTGTAGGTTGTACCATAGTAGTACTGTGATAAAGTTTAGAGAAATTGTCACAAATGAAAATGAAATCGATGCAGGATATAAAATGAAAACTATTGATATGTGAAATATGGAACTGCATCTTGTAGAACACATTCTAATAAAAATAATTTTGTAATTAAAATGTGCGCTTGCGTGTGTGTAGTTTAAATGTTGTGTTTTTAATCTAAGACAGATTATACAGTATGTAACCATGACTGATACAGGCATAGGCCCCTCGACTCAGTAGGCTGTACTTCCCTCATGCTGGTTGTTCTTGTCCTCTGTTTATACACATCCATGCTGGAAATTCATATTAAATTTGCATTTTTTTTGTTTTTACTTCATGAAAATCTATATTGCTTTAGTTGTTTGTAGAACACATATTACATAATATGATTAAAAATACATTAATATTATGCAATTTATATATGTGGTTTTTGCATATGTCCCTTACAATATTCTGTTGGAACATATACAAATCACAGGAGTTTTTAGCAAACCTTTTCCATATGGGAAGGTTTTAAAGTATATTATTGTTAAACACCATGTAGGCTAATGCTTCAAAGCGAGTTTGCAGCAAAAGGCACGAACAGAACGAAATGTTATTATTTATGAGTAACGTTAAACTATTAATAAATGAGACTGAAAATTTAATTGATAAGACAATTGAATGCAATAGAGTCAAAACCACGATTTTAATATGCATAAGTTAAATAGGAATACATATAAATTTGTATGTTGGTAAAGTTGTTTATACGTAAATAAATTACGTTTTTTGTTTGTTTGTTTTTTTTGCTGTCATGTCATTGTGAGTTGTTGTGAGTTGGGCATGTTGGCCTGCAGTTTTCAATGAAGCAGGTTTGTCTCAATTCAAGTTAAGTCTGTTTCTTGAAACAAGACGATTCATCTTTTACAAATAACACAGCAGCTTAAAAAACTGTCAAAATGTCAAAAAAGCTTGTTTCATCTGAGATATGACTCAAAACAAGATATTTTTAAGACAGTTTCACTTAACAAGATTTTCAAGATGCACTGTCTAAAAACAAGCTCCTGTATCTTACTTAAATCTTGGTCTTTAGGTAATTTTGTCTTATATTAAGTGAGCTGAGATATTTTGACTAGAAATTAGAAAAATATACTTGGCAAGATTTTCAGTTTTTGCAGTGTAACCGGGTTTTATTCTCATTTTACTGTGTCGTTAGTGTTGTTCATCACAGGTCTGGCTTTGAGATGTTATGCTGATTGTAGATCTACATGTGGAAGATCAATCCAGCCCTCCTTTAGTCCCATAAGTCAGTGCGTAATCGATGCGTTTGATCTGGCGGAGATCGACGGCGCTTTCCGAAGACTGTCTCAAGATACTTTATTTTATGAATCAACGATGCTTACACGTTGGTTTATTTCTTAAAGGAGTAGTTCACTTTAAAATAACTTTTGCTGATAATTTACTCACCCCCTGTGTCATCCAAGATGTCCACGTCTTTCTTTCTTCAGCGGAAAAACATTCCAGGATTTTCTCCATATAATGGACTTCAATGGGAACCAAACGGTTCAAGGTCCAAAAGACAGTTTCAGTTTAAAGGGCTTTAAACTAGAGCCCGACCGATAAAGGATTTTGAAGGCCGATACCGATACAAATATTTTGGGGTTTTAAAATCCGATATTCTGATATATCGACCAATATTTTATTTATTTATTTATTTTTTTAAACTGGACATGATAGTCACAAATTTTGTCCTGCTTATTTGAGTTTAGAGAACTGATGGGGATGTTCTTTTAATTGTTATTCAAGCAATGACCAACTCAACAAGTGTTGCCGACAGGAACGGTGTAGAGCGCCCTCTGGTGGACAAACTATACAACTCCAACACTCATGACATGGTTCAAGCGTGTTTCATCCGCTTTAATTTTATTTTTGGAATATTAATTTATCGGCCATTATAACTGCCGATACCGATAGTTTGTAAAATGCCTAATATCGGCCGATATATCGGTCTGGCTCTACTTTAAACGACACCAGACGATGAATAAGGGTCTTGTTTTGTTTATGAAACTGAAGTCACGCTGGTGAAGAAGCTCATGATGCCTTTACTGCTGTTACAGCTTGTGTTTGCATGAGTCATCTCAAACTGTACTCGAGGCGTGCTGACATGGTTGTGTCGTGTTTTGTGGTTCTGTTTCTCTAGGTGATGGAGACCAGGATCATGTGACACATCTCGCCGCTAAAGCCCAACATCACATGACCTGTGTGCAGAAGGTCGAGGGTCATTTGGCTGGGCTTGACAAGAGCTCAGATGATAAAGAGAGGTGTGTGTGTGTTGTTTTGTGTGGGATGATCAATCAGATTTGTTTACAAAACACTAAAATGTTGGAATAGTTATTTACACTGGCTGTCAAAAGTTTGGAATAATTGCTGCATTTATTTGTTATTTCTTCAGTGTCACATGATCCTAGTTCAGAAATCATTCTAATAATGATTTGCTGCTCAAGAAACATTTATGATTATTATATCAGTGTTCATATTTTTGTGGAAACTGTGATACGTTTTATTTTACAGGATTCTTTGATGAATGTAAAGTTCAAAAGAACAGCATCTTTTGTAACATTATAAAAGTTAATCCTTTCACAATAAAAATATAATCCAAACTTTAAAATGGTAGTGTATCACAGTTTCTCAATAAAAACCTGAAGCAGGACATGTTTTCAACATCGATAAAATCCTCATATTAGAGTGATTTGTGAAGGATCATGTGACACTGAGGACTGGAGTAATGATGATAAATTCAGGAATAAATTACACTTTACTGGATATTCACATAGAAAACAGATGATTTAAATTACAGTAATATCTCACAATTTTTATTGTATTTTTGATGATATAAATGCAGCTTTGGTGAGCAGAAAAGACAAAAAATAACCTTCATATGCCAAGCTTTTGAGCGGTAGTGCTACTCTAGACTCAAATGAATGTAGTTGTGATGTTTTACTCTCTCCAAAAGCCGCAGACTCTGTGTTCGTTAAAACCAGGCTTGCTATGAATCTCCAGAGTTCATCATCACGGTTCTGCTCTCAGGACATCATTATTCTGTATATCTTCTGCAACGAGGGAATAAAACCAGCAGGATTTCATCATTTCGTATGACTGAAGCTCAGACGCGCTCATGTTGTTTCTGTGGTGTGTGTTTGCTTGTCAGGGTGAGGTTATGGGCGTCTCTGGCCAAGATCGGCCGGAAACAGGAGGTTTTCGATGTGTGTCGCGCGGCCTGTCGCTTCTGTCTGCTGTACGATGACGGGCGATGGGAGAGCTCCAGTAAGTGACCCCGCGAGAGCATGAATCGCACATGTTTCAGAAATACAGTGGTGTGACTAAGTTTGGACACCCATGCTAAAGTTGCCTAAAAAGAGGAATAAAAAATCATCTTTTGCATATTGATCTTAACGCCTTAATTAGAAAAATGAGGAAAATTCCAACCTTTAAGGACACCAATTTTCTTTGTGAATGAATAATGCATCATAAATAAATAAATGTTTTTCTTTAAAATACAGGGTGCATAAGTCATTCCCCCCCTATGTTAAATTCCCATAGAGTCAGGCAGATTTTTATTTTTAAAAGCCAGTTATTTCATGGATCCAGGATAATATGCATCCTGATAAAGTTCCCTTGGCCTTTGGGATTAAAATATCCCCACATCATCACACACCTTCCACCACACCGAGAGATTGGCATGGTTTTACTTCAGTTAGCCTAATAGCTGGTTTGATTTGCATTGAAAGATGAACTTATGGAAAGTACCCCATAATATTACTAATTTAGCCTGTTTATGAGAGGCTTGTGTGACACTGTAAAATAATACTTACAATTTGTAAGTAAATTTGGATAACTTAAATTTTTTAAATAAACCATAAATTTGGATAACTTAGAAATCCAACTTAATATTTTTAGTCAAGCACAAACACATACTGTTTTAACTTCACAAGAAAAACAACACATTTCTAATTCTAATGTTGCATTTTTAGTTTCAAAACAGCAATAATGTTTAGAGTGCAGCCGCGTGTCGGAGATGATCAGGTGTGTTCTGGTTCTGATTGCAGGTAAACTGAAGAACGGAGCGAGTCCGGAGCGAAGGAACCAGACGGATCCGCTTCTGCGTCTGTTAGCGGAGGTCCACTTCATCAACGCTGAGGTAAACTCTGCTTTCGTTCCCCAACACACAGTTTGATTGCTCAATCCCAATCCCAATATCACACAGAAAAACGCGAATGGATCCGATCGTGACAAACAGTCAGAATGTGCTACTAATGCAACGTTTAAGGCTTACAGGTTACGGTTATCAGTTATCAAAAAAAATTAAAGCACATTTAAATACAACTAAAATACAACAAAAAATACAACTATGTTGTTCCAAAGTGCTGTAAACATAAAAAACTGCAAATAAAACCAACAAATCCACAAAACCTCCATCGATGATAAATTCAGGAGCCTGAACAACACTAGTGAATGTGAATGAAATCTTTAGAATCGGTTTCGCTCTTAATGCGTTTGGGGACGAAATTCAGTGTAAATGAGTCATCATTTATTGTTCTACATCATACATTTCACTTCCATGATTATGTCTGGTTCAGAAGTTATAATTATGCTATGTTATGTGGAATGTTATTCTATGTTATGTTATGTAATATAGTATTTAGGGCTGTCAATCGATTAAAATGTGTAATCTAATTAATTTCCTAATTTGGCGATGAATTTATTTAATTAATTGCACATCAAATTTGTCTGAAACATTACCCCCCAGGAGTTAATGTGAAGTCATTATTGTGTTAAAAGCATCAAATAGACATTACAAAAATAAGCTTTAGAAAGAACTATTATGTTTGATTCAAGTGCATTATTACACATAACGAGGGTGAGTCAATGATGACAGAATTCAGTTCAGTTTGTTTATTAATATGGAATATGACTTATTTATTTTATGAAATCATACTCTAAATAAGAAACTAAAACTTTCAACTGATTCATTCGATTCGTTCACATAATTGATTCATTCAGGAATGAAGGAAATGGATCTCTTTATGAATGAGTTATTGATTCATTAAAAAGTGCATTTATGCCGAAACATGCACAGTAAAAATGAATATGCTTTATCTAATCAATACAATTGTGGCAAAAGATTACAAGCAATATTATTTATTAAATTGAACAAATTAGAATTGAGTAATAGTTAATCAAATTAATATTCTAATTAATTCTAATTTGTACAATTTAATTAATAATATTGCTTGTAATATGTTGCCACAATTTTATTGATAAGATAAAGCATATTATTTTTTTCAGTGTGGCTGTGCGTCTCAATCGTTCTGCTATGGCTTTATAGGTAATCATTTTTGTCTCAGTATCTTGAATTTTGGTGTGTGAAGCAGATGGAGAAGCCCTAAAACAATGAGATGCTCATCATTTATTCTCCCTCGTTTCAGACCATTTGACTTTCTTTCTAATGTGGAACACAAAAGATGAATTTGTAAATGGTGTTTGTGTAAATGTGGAATGAAAATCTTCTCGTTCCACAACACATGGGTTTGTAAGTCATTTTTATTTTGCCTGAAATACTTTTTCTGAAATGAAGACTTCTCTCTCAATCATGTGCTGTTTTTAATGACTCCATTAGACCTCCAGGAAGATGATGTGTAATGAAGTCTTCAGAGACGCGTGGAGGACTGGAGAAGCGATGACCTTGACTAAAGCAGTGAAAAGCACATCACTTTGTTCCCGGCGATGTGTTTCCTCTGTTTTTGAAGGGGTTGATTTTTCAAAAGGCGTCCTGTTAATTTGTCAGATCCTCGTGGACACGCGAGGCTTTGATCCGCAGTCGTCCTGCTGTGTTAAACGTTCAATCCCATCAGCCCCGGCTGCACACGCGACACACACGAGAGTCTCTGCTACTAAACATCTTATGCAATCATTATTAAACCCTGTGAAAGCCTAGGAACGAACAAGAGTTTTTTCTCTAAATTTAACATTTTATTGACAAAATACTTTTTTAAAAAATATAAAAAGTTGTGTATTCTGTATCATATTTGATACATCAGGCTTTTATGAGAATATGAAGGAAAAACAGATGTTTTATTCACAAAAATATGATGCAGATGCTGATGAAAAAATGATGAAATTATGATGCTTGTAATGTAAATCAATGAGATCCTTATAACAGCATTGCAGATACATATTAATATATGCCAATAATATGATCCTTAGATTTATGATCTATAGTTTTAAAACATAATGCAATTCAATAAAATTGACTTAGAGATGAACTAATAAACCTTTCTCAAAAGCCTGATTTTCTCGTGATTTTTATAATAAATGATGATGATAATCAAGTAAACCTGCTTCAGTCCAGCTGAAATATTACTAACAATATCCAAGTTATTCTTGATATCAGAGCAGATTTGACTTAGAAAGACTCGTAAAGGACGTTTGTACAATTATACTAAAAGACTTTTAATTTATAAAACAGTTTAAACTATCAGTCAGACACAGACGACATTGGAGCGTTTTTATTTTTTCATTTCATAGGCCTTAGAAATATGCGTATCAAACAGGATTTATACTTATTGGTTTAATTGAATACACCAGAAATATTTATAAAAGCTTAGTTATTGTGATTCAGTTCAAAATTAGCATCCCATAAAGCGCAGTATTGTGTTGTCTAGGTAACCATCCTAAAACTGCGCTCTGAGGGGGTGGAGCTAAACGGCTCTGCTGTGACACCTGATGACAGAGGGACACGCCCACCCGAGGAGGGCGACGCCCACTGGACCCTGTACAGGTCAGCAATAACACACTTATTGACGTTAATAACCCTGACTCTGTGTGACACACTCTCATCTCAGAAGCTGATTGGATGTTAAGCCTGTTATATTAATGATGTGGATCTGAACAGACAAGATAATCACAGAGAGACACTCTATTTCACATCCCAGCATGCATTAAATGACTTTCTCGGATTATAAACCGCATGAAACAATAAGCTGGCGAGGCGTGTGAATCACAGATAAACAGAGCTGCTCTTCACCATACACCATATTCACCATATCCAGCTATATGTATCGCCGTATAGATGACATTAGATTCAGCTGTATTGTGTAATCCCGTTAACAACTAACCAGCAGCACAGAATTTAAATGCATTTAATTCTGTGTAAATTGCCATATGAACATTGTGATGAGATAAAGGCATGAGAAAAGTAAAATCTTAAATATCAGTATGTTATATTAGTAATTCTATAATTTAGAATAGCTGATTGGTTAAATATTGCTTTGCATCTGTTTGCTTTTGCAACAGTACCCTATATTTGTTTTATTTTTATTTATTTAGAAAAGGGACAGTGTACGTTAATCAATTCATGAATGTAAATGTACCCAAATGATCCCGAACAACTCTGTAAAATACAATTAAACATATTATACAATATATGTACAATAAAAACATAAAAATGATTGATTAATAATTAAAGTATCATTAGTAATAATAGAGGAAGCAGAATAAATGTTCACATTGTTTACTGACCTGAAACTTTTTTTTATGAAACAAAAATGTTATATAAACTATGAAGTTGTCGGTTCGTAGGTGTGTCAGTATAATGTAAATCATTACAAATCACACATAATTAGTTGCCTTTTTTTGTGTCTTTCCTCAGTGATTGGATCAAGGGTTTATCGGCGTATGCCACGGGTCACTTCCTGCGAGGGGCGGAGCTGGGGGCGGAGCTTGGAGAGGCGTGGCTGGTGGCTAATGCAGCTGTGTATCTGTGGAACTACAACACCTGGCTTCTGGCCACCAGGGGGCATCGGCTCCTCCTGCCCACGTTCAGCCGTCTCTTACAGCTCCTCAGACACACAGGGCATGCTGGGTAAGATGTGGCCTTTGGTGATGTTTGATTGGTCAATCCTCGCTAGTTCTAGTGCTGCCACTGATGTGCAGAAACATCTACAGCAAGTATTGAAGTTCAGTGTGTGTGTGTGTGTGTGTGTGTTTGAGCTCCAGAGATGATAGATTGTTGAAAAAAAGGCTTTTATTTTGTATTTCTATAATTATTTGATGATGTATTGTATCTTTATTAGTTGTGTTTGTTGCATCAGTCCTCACTAGTTCTCAATCATGTGTTTTATAATTCTATAATTATTTTAATTTAATTATTATTATTTAATTATTTTATTTTATAAATCTATTTAATTATTATATAAATTACATAATTATTTTTATATCATTTTATTTAATTATTCTATGATATTCTGTAATTATATTATTTGTATATATAATATATCATCATTATTTTTATATAATTATGTCATTGTTTTATAATTTTATATTATAATTTTATTTAATTATTATATAATTACATTATATTATTTGTTTTTATTATCCTATTTAATTAATATGTCATTATTTTATTTTATAATTTTATTAAATTATTTTATGATTACATAATTTTATATGTGTGCTGTAAATGTAAATTATTCTGTAATTATAGTGTTTTGTGTATATTGTTTAGTAATTTTATTGTGATTGTTGTGCCGTGTCTCAGGGAGACGTCTCTCGTGGTCCTGCTGTGTGACGCTGTGGCTCAGGGACTCATCGAGCCGTGGTGTGTGTCGCCTGTGCGTGCCGATCAGGAAGAGAAGGCAGACGTTCAGCCCGCCGCAGAAAAGACCAAGAAAGTGCGAGGAAAGAGCGTGGAGAAGTCCGGCCCGACCCACGGCCCAGGCCTGGACGCCGCCGCCCTGCAGGACGTGAAGAAAGCTCTGGAGGTGAGCAACTCTTTCACTCCCAAAACACACTGGAGACTGCCACAGTGCAAAGCATTGTGGGTAATCTCAGACCATAAATAGACTCCCTGATTCTAAAACAAGCGAAGCACTCACTGATTGTGAATTAAATTAGAGTTAAAATAGCTTTCATTTCTTTATGACTGACAAAATGTGTAATGGAGATTTTATATGCAATTCAAATATGTAGAGAAAAAAAGTCAGAATTTTGAGTTTATTTCTCGCAATTGAATGTTTATATCGCACAATTCTGACTTTATATCGTATAACATGCCCGTGTGCAAAGAATTGTGGGTAATCTCAGACCATAATTAGACAGGCCCTGAATTTAAAACAAGCTAAACACCCATTGTGAATTAAATTAGTGTTAAACTAGCTTTTATTCCTTTATGACTGACAAAATGTGTAATCCAAATGAGTGGAGGTTTTTATATGCAATTCAAATATATAAATCTTGATATGTATGAGAAGTGTGAGAGTATTTTCCTGATCCAAGTGAACACTTTTAATGAAAAGAGGCCTATAAAAGTCTCTCAGAAATAGATTTGCGTGTGATTGAGGAAATAGGAAATACACAGTTAAACACGCCATGCGATCGGCTGCTTCTCTTCTAATTAAATGTCCCTTTGTGCAGATTTACAGGCCTTCCTCTGCACTTATCAGCACTAATTTCACATGAAAGCCTTTTTAATATAGGGGAATTATTCACTAACTTGGTTTCCTCACACTGCTCTTTTCACACTTGACATGAGGAGCTAATCTCGTTTGCGTTATCTATTTCAAACACGCGGCGAACAGCGTGTCGGCTCGAGGAGACCGGAGATGTGGACGAGCAGAGAGTTTGTGAAGGTCCGGCAAGAGAAGTTTAAAACACGTCCAGGCTAAATCAACAGTGAATGTTTAATAGACGTCTAAACGATAGACTCGTCATCAATTAGAGAACAAAGAAATGAAATGAGTGAAGAAATGAAACCAGTGAGATATTTCAAGTCTTTATTTGTTATAATTTTGATGATTATGTCGTACAGATATGAAAACCTTTTCACAATATTCTAATTTTGACTTTGGGGTTTTCATAAGCTGTAAGCCATAATCATCAAAACTATTTAAAAAAAAAACCTTTTAAGTTGTGTTACTGAAATAAATGAGCTTTTGTACGATATTCTGATTTTCCGAGTTTCACCTGTATATCGGTAAAAATGACGTGTAGCCGAACTCGGCGTTATTCTGGCTAGAAGTGTTCCTCACAGCCGGACTATATCGGGTCTATAGTTAAGTTAACCTAGGACATCTGTGTTCTGCTGATACCTGACTGTGTGTGTGTGTGTGTGTAGGTGTGTGAGTTTGCGCTGAAGCTGTCCAATGGGAACGCTGAGCCGGTGCCGCTCCTGGTGAGGAGGCAGATCTTGAGCTCGTGGGTCTCGGTTAAACAGCTTCTTCACCAGCAGATCGGACCCAAGCTGGACATCAACGACGAGGTGACGTCACACACACACACACACACTGAGAAAATACTCATATGTGTCCATATAAACATCTGGAGTCTCATTTATAAAGCTGTGCGTAGGATCATTACTAAGTGTACATGCAAGACAAATATAGCGTACGCCAAAAAATACTCAGACTTACGAAACCTTCACAGCCACAGAATACAACATTTGAAAAGATTATTGCGACTTTTTATCTCACAATTCTGACTTTATTTTTTTGCAATTGCGACTTTATATCGTAATTCTGACATATTTTCTCACAATTGCATGTTTTATAAATTACAATTCTGACTTTATCACTTAATTCTGATATAATATCACGTAATTCTGACTTTATCACTTATTTCTGACTTTATATCAAATTTCCTGAAAAAGGACAATAAAAGGAATCAATCAATCACACAATTCTGACTTTATATCACTCAATTCTGACTTTATATCACTTATTTCTGACTTTATATCACTCAATTCTGACTTTATATCACTTATTTCTGACTTTATATCACTCAATTCTGACTTTATATCACTTATTTCTGACTTTATATCACTTATTTCTGACTTTATATCACTCAATTCTGACTTTATATCACTTATTTATGACTTTATATCACTCAATTCTGACTTTATATCACTCAATTCTGACTTTATATCACTTATTTCTGACTTTATATCACTCAATTCTGACTTTATATCACTTAATTCTGACTTTATCATTTAATTCTGACTTTATATCACTTAATTCTGACTTTATATCACTTATTTCTGACTTTATATCACACAATTCTGACTTTATATCACTCAATTCTGACTTTATATCACTTATTTCTGACTTTATATCACTTATTTCTGACTTTATATCACTTATTTCTGACTTTATATCACACAATTCTGACTTTATATCACACAATTCTGACTTTATATCACTTAATTCTGACTTTATCATTTAATTCTGACTTTATATCACTTAATTCTGACTTTATATCACTTAATTCTGACTTTATATCACACAATTCTGACTTTATATCACTTAATTCTGACTTTATCATTTAATTCTGACTTTATATCACTTAATTCTGACTATCATTTAATTCTCACTTTATTTCACTTAATTCAGACTTTATATCACTTAATTCAGACTTTATATCACTTAATTCTCACTATCATTTAATTCAGACTTTATATCACTTAATTCAGACTTTATATCACTTAATTCTCACTATCATTTAATTCTGACTTTATATCACTTAATTCTGACTTTATCATTTAATTCTGACTTTATATCACTTATTTCTGACTTTATCACTTAATTCTGACTTTATATCACTTATTTCTGACTTTATATCACACAATTCTGACTTTATATCACTCAATTCTGACTTTATATCACTTATTTCTGACTTTATATCACTTATTTCTGACTTTATATCACACAATTCTGACTTTATATCACACAATTCTGACTTTATATCACTTAATTCTGACTTTATCATTTAATTCTGACTTTATATCACTTAATTCTGACTTTATATCACTTAATTCTGACTTTATATCACACAATTCTGACTTTATATCACTTAATTCTGACTTTATCATTTAATTCTGACTTTATATCACTTAATTCTGACTATCATTTAATTCTCACTTTATTTCACTTAATTCAGACTTTATATCACTTAATTCAGACTTTATATCACTTAATTCTCACTATCATTTAATTCTGACTTTATATCACTTAATTCAGACTTTATATCTCACTATTCTTACTTTGTCACGCAAATCTGACTTTATAACTTTCAATTGCGACTTTATATCACGCTATTGTGAATAAAAAGTCTTGCATTAGTACACCAGAGTCTGCTAAATATGCCCAAAGCTTGCCTACTCTTCATCTTCACAAACAGAGTACACACTTTTAGGGAATATAATCATGCATTAGTTTAAAGGCCCTGCATGAAATATGCCGTGTCGTCCGGGTGTAATCTCTCTTCTGCTTGATGGTGTGTGTGTGTGTGTGTGTGTGTGTGTGTGTGTGCAGAGTAAGAGCGAGGCAGTGGTGGCCGTGTCCCGTGTGCTGGTGGCGATGGAGATGCTTCGGTGTAACCGGAACACCCGGCTGATGGAGTTCAGCGTCCCCAGCCTGTCTGTGGTGAGAGCATCATCATCATCATCACTATTATAGAGCTCAAATAGAGTTTGATTAGCATGAGTGTTCTGAAAAACTCGAACTGCACCAAATGGGATTATAAGAAATGATTTATTTCTTGCAGATATATTTACCTTTCATTTTTCTCTGTTGTTTATTGGCTTTTAAGTTGATTTCTTTGTACAGTTCATCATCAGTTCGACCGTTGAGTGTGTTTAAAAACAGTGCATATATTTAACGAAATCTAGAGAGGTTCAGATAAATGAGTTAATCAAACCTGATGAAAAACAACATTTTACTTTTGAACATGTAACATTTGAACTTTAAGAAAGACACATTTGGCCGTTAATTCTAAATGCATCATTATGCAAAAACATTAGATATGCTAAATATGCAGTTATGATGATGCGGTAGCTTGACCCAAAGCTACTCCTCTTCTTCACTAAAAGAGAGCAAGCTTTCAGAGAATAGGGTGAGTCGGGGAATTTGGACGCTGCATGAATCAACCAATGGTGTGAGTTTGGGGGTGTGGCTATTTGTTTGCCTGGCCAATGGCAATTATGTTTGTTGCCACAAATAGTGCTCGTTATGTTAATTGAAAAGTAATATACATATACAATTATATAAAGTTTATATTTATAAATATCTGCTCAGTAGATGAGATGTCGTGCCTGGTTGTGTGTTTTGCTCAGTGTGTGTGTGTGTGTGTGTGTGTGTGTTTCAGCTGGTGTCGATGGCGACGGGCTGTCAGTGGACCGACCCGGTGCTGGAGTTGTGTGTGTGGACTCAGCTCGCTCTATACACTCATCAGACACATGACCACGACCTTCTCATGACCTGCACCCAGAATGCACTGCAGCTGGAGCACAGTGCCCTTCACAGGGTGAACACACACACGTATGCTCTGTGAGTGCTAGACGTACATCTCTATATCTACACTATTGCCTACAGTTTGATCTAAAATGAATGATGGGGTTTGGACAGCATAAAACCCTTGTCATCTCCATAAAACTGTGTGTGTGTGTGTGTGTTCAGGGTTAGTGTGCGCTCAGTGCAGGAGATGTTGAGCAGCGCTGCATGTGTGAGAGGTCAGAGTTTGACCCGTGAGGCCAGAGGTCATCAAACCAGATACATGGAGGGTCTGCGGATGCTTCAGTCCAGCGTCAGGTCAGTTTCACAAACACACACACACACACCGAGTTACTCTCACACACTACACACTTCAGACCGCACAGATCGAAATTGCGAATTGAAAATGGAAAAAAACTCAATTAAAGGATTATTTCGCTAAATTACAGTGGAAAGAGTTTTTACACGTTTACAGTCACATGACGCAGGAGAAGCGGTGTGTGTGTGGACAGAAGACGAGACGAGATCTTTACTAAACTCAGACAACTGGATTCTAGAGAAGAAATGCCACAGTTTATCAAGATCTCGAACTCCTCACATGAGCCGCTCTCAGTATAAGAGGCTTTCCCTGACATTAATGCTGGATAACACACACACACACACGTCTGCAGCTGCTGATGACACGGTTACCCGTAGCTGACGTTACTGAGCAGGAGGACGCTCAAATCTGTAATGGAAACGTGGCCACTGACTGTTTGACTGCCTCTTCTTCCTCTGATGTGTGTGTGTGTGTGTGTGTGTGTAGTTTTGCGGCGCAGGCGTGCAGCTGGTGTGTGTGTGTGACGGCAGCGGGTCACTACTGGAACGCCTGTGTTCCTCTCCTGGACTCGAGAGCGGACCGACGACAGCTCAGAGAACCACTGGAGCTCATCCTGAAGGCCATGATGAACACTTACAGGACACACACACCTGTAAACACACACACACACACACACACACACACCTGTAAACACTCTCTCACACACACACACACACACCTGTAAACACACACACGCACCTGTAAACACTCTCTCACACACACACACACACACACACACACACACACACACACACACACACACACACACACACACACACACACACACACAGCTACACTATACTCTGCAACTACTAAATGTTCTGTTTATTATAACCGTGTTTGTTACAGTTACTCAGAGTGAGAGAGTGTGTGTGTTTAAGTGTGTGCTCATGTGTGTGTGAGTGTGTGTTTGTTATTTGTTTCCAGATGTCAGTTTCTTTATGTGTGTGTGTGTGTGTGTGTTCAGGACAGAAGCACTGGAGCGTCTGGACTCGAGAATGACGGTCCAGAAACCCCAGAAAGCACACGTGAGGATTATTAACTATATTTCTTCTTTCTTTTTTCTTTTTTTTGTAATTTAGTGTTTTTATTTATTTTGAAAAAAGTTGACAACATTTTGTACAATAAGAAAGAAAACTTATATGGCTACTAATTCCCCTCTAAGCCACCCTTATTAACTATATTTCTGAAGTATAATCAGTGTATTAGTGTTTATAATATGTAACTGACAGAAATAATCCGGTCATGAATAGGGTTGGGTATCGTTTGAATTTGAACGATTCTGATTCCGATTCCGATTCCTTGTTTCGATTCCGATTCCTAATGATTCTCGATTCCGATTCTTCTAAGAGGCAGGGTCAAAAAAGTTTAGCTAACCTTGCTAACCAACGGCCTTTCTGAAGGAAATACTCCTTCTGTAAAAATACTCCTTTTGTCACAAATTTTGCATTTTGTCGAGATTTCGTTATTTTTAGAAAAGTGAAGCCACACTTTGGATGTTTGACTCGCGTGGTTATGCCAACACTTCCGGTAGACGCTTCTTCGTTGGTGTTGTTCAGCGGTTTCTTCTTCCGCTCGGCGGACTGTGAATATCGAAACTAGGAATCGAAATTTTAACTTTTGAACGATTCCGGGAAAAACGAAAAGTTAGTCTCGGTTCCAATCGATACTCGATTCTCGATACCCAACCCTAGCCATGATTCACTTTCCACAGAGTGTTTTGCTCATATAAAGTTTAATGCTGATCCTCTACTGCAGGAGTACGACTCTATCGCTGTACTCGAGTAGAAGCTCCTTCAGTATCAATATCATTATTATTACTATTATTATTATATACTATTATTCAGAATCACCCTCCTGCTGTCTCAGTCAGGATTAGGCCTTCTGATTCCCCCTGAAGCACACTCAAATTCTCTAATCATGTTATGAAATGAATGAATGAACTGTCCAACACACTGATGTTGAGTTGAGTTGTGCTGGCTAGAGTTATTGCTGCTCGTATCGTATCGTATGCACACTCACTGTCAGCCGGATCGGACGATAGTGGAGCTGACACACACTACTGACTGACAGACTTTAGTTTAATTCGAATGTTCTGAGATGTGCATTACCCATCAGCCCCCTCTCTCTCTCTCTCTCTCTCTCTCTCTCTCAGGTGATGATGAGCTGACGGTGTGTGTGTCCATGATCAACGCTCTGCTCCTCATTCATGCAGACACTGGAGACTGGAAGAGAAGCCTAAAGCTGCTGGACGAGGCCGTCGGAGACATGCCACACACACACCGACCGTGAGTCACACACACACACACTGCTGCAATATCTGCTCATCTGCCCTTTTAACTTGCTGTGCTTCACGGGTTACAGAATACATGCAGCCAGAGGAGATACAGATGATGCAGAACAGCCGTGATGAGTTCTGTGTGTGTGTGTGTGTGAGATGTAAAGGCCTCCATCTGAGTTCTCTGTGTGTTTCATCATTGCTGCTCAGATGAATAGAATAGAAGAAGCGAGAAGCGCGAGTAATACAGTTTCAAACATGATCTAGAATAGGAAAGTGTGTTCATGAAGCTATACAGAAACTCAATGTATGTTCACAAATGCACATTTAGACAGTCCAGAACAAAGATCATCTCACATCGTGGAGAAAGACTTCAGACTTCAGATGTTCTCATCCTTCAGTCTGTCTGTGGGGTTTCGGCGACACCTGCTGGCCTCACACACACACTGCATGATTTCATTTGAGTTCATCTCAAGAATTTGTCTCTTTAGATCAATTTAGGATTATTAGAAACAGAAAATCAAGTCAAGTGTGTCCAAATGTTTGCTTTCTAGTGTGATTCCCAGTTACAGTAATGGTGTGTGTGTGTGTGTGTGTGTGTGTGTGTGCAGGGTTCTGTTAAAGCAGCGTGTTCTGGTGAAGGCCCGGCTGGGAGAGTCGGTTCTGCTGGACATGCAGCGGTTCAGAGACGAGGACGAGATCTTCCTCTCGCACATGTGGAGGCGAGCAGCTCTGTGTGCCAAACACACACACCAGCGCCTGTCCTGCTATCAGAACGCCATCGCAGCACTGAAGGTGACAGTGTGTGTGTGTGTGTCTCACACGTTACTATGTTTTCATTAGTGGGGAGTAATGTGTGAATCTCATGAAGGAAAGGTCTGGATCACATTTTGCACCAAACCCAAAAATAGTGATGTGAGAATATATATATATATATATATATATATATGAAGAGTTCAGATGCAAAAGCCTCTAAATGCCATTTGAAATTTTCTTCTTTAATGATCATTTTTTATCAAGCTTGTATATTTAAGTTCAGTAATTTCACTTAAATGGCAATGATAATTACCTATTAATTGTCATTAAAGTGAAATTACTGAACTTAAATATACAAGCTTGATAAAAATCATCATTAAAGAAGAAAATTTCAAATGGCATTTAGAGGCTTTTGCATCTGAACTCTTCATTTATATATATACATGTACAGTGATGAGGCAAAATATGCTTAACTGTCACCTTGCAAAATGACTAATTGTTTTTTAATAATTTATATCGAAAGCATTCAGCCAGGGGTTTCCGGAGTTTGCATGCCAGTGAAATGACTTATCCGACACTTTAAAATCATCTTAAAAATTAATTTCTAGACACAATCATTATTAAATTAGTGATCTTAACTTACAATTGTTTTCCACAAATGTCATGTATTATTTTCCCAATATCTCATAGGGTGGAAAAGTGCTTTAAAAATTGTGTTTTTGAAATTTTTATGTGTTTTTGTTTTTTTAAAAATGTGTTTATATAGTATTTTTTTTTTAGTTGTAGTTCACTAAGTTAAACTAAATGAAAATAACAAAAGGTTTATTATGGATTTAGTTTTAGTTAACTATAATAACCCTGATAATAACTGTATATATTAGGGCTGTCAAACGATTAATCGCGATTAATCACATCCAAAATAAAAGTTTGTGTTTACATAATACATATGGGTGCACTGTGTATAATTATTTTGTATATATATAAATACACACACATGCATCTATATATAAGATAAAAATATTTGTTATATATAGAATATTAATATATAATATAAACTATATATAAATCTACATACATGAAAATATTTCTTAAATATATACAAGCATGTGTGTGTATTTATATATATAAAATAATTATACACAGTGCACCCACATGTATTATGTAAACACAAACTAATTAATCGTTTGACAGCCCTAGTGTATATATATAATATTATTATTTCTTGAACAATAATAGCCATTATAAACTTTGCATTTAATATATGTAATTTAATGCTTTGTAAGTTGTATTTTGGATGCCTTATCTGTAATTTGTGTTTAAAAAAATCCTTAAATCCTAAATTTATTGTTTGATAAGTGACATCTCTGATTTTAGTCCTTGAAAACCAAAAAAGTAGTGCTTGAAAGTCCTGGAATGAAAGCCCTGTTCATTTCCTCCATGAAAAAAGACATTTTAAAATGTTTTTCTGTTGATTTTGTGGTTGAAGCGTGTTTGACGGAGTGTGTGTGTGTGTGTGTGTGTCGTCAGTCTCCGGGTGCTCAGTGGCAGAAGGTGGACGTTCTGCTGGAGTTCGGCGAGTGGCTTCACGTCACACACTTTCCTGCGACTGACGTTCGTCTCCCGATCGAGTGGGCCGCAGACATCCTGATGTTCCCAGACGGTCAGTCTTCATCACGTGTTCTGTACAACTCCATCACATGACCAACGTTGCCTTTGGGTTACTTAGTTACGGACATTTAATTTAATATTAACAATATTATCGATCTGCTGCATTGACACCATTAAACGAGAACTGACCTGAGCTGGGCGATGACATCACGGTTTTCTCCAGAGCGGCTTTATGTATAAACAAACTAAATTAAAAACAACAAAAATGAACCATCGCTGAACTTATTAAGGTGGACTGTGCTGATATTTTCTTCTGGAAACACACTCTGTTGCAGTATTCTCCTGTTATCTGTGTAAAGCTGCTGTGTACAGTAAGTAAAGCTGACTTGACCCCTGTCCCGCCAGAGGAGAGCGTGGCGTCCGGCGTGTGTGTGCGTGAGGTGCGGGCGGTCGGGCGTCTGGAGCGTCTGATGCGAACACACACACTGCTGGCTGTCGTGGAGGAGCGATCGTCACACACACACCTGCAGCATCTGCTCACCGCGCTCAGCTTCACGCTAAACATCTGGAAGGTCAGCGCTTCACCTCACACACACTCCTCCGTGTCCACACTAACACACTTTCGTTTGAACACGCCTATTTTTCTCTCCGCTCTGTCGACACTGAGACGGCGTTTTTATTAATGAAATCAAAGCTTTTTGAAAACACTCTCCAAAGTGGATACATGTGAAACACAGTTTTCCCGCTGTAGTGTGGGCTGTGGAAACTGAGCGATGATGTAAGTTTAGTCATGTGACGCAGCTTTGATTTCATTAATAAAAACGCCGTCTCCGTTTCGACGGAAGACAAAGTGGAGAGAAAAGAAAAGGCCTCAGAGCGAGACGATGGGATTGCGTCCTCAAGTGTGTGTCCGTGTTGGGTGCAGGTGTCCATGGAAACCGCACAGGAAGTGAGGAATCGGTCAGCTGTGAGACCAGACGACAAGAAGCCTAAACAGGTGAGAGGAATGAGTTATGATAAATAAGTGTTATAAGAGCATTTTGCTAACGCTCCACTGAAGTTATGAAAAAAATATTTGTCTTTATTTCTTTTTAAGATCATGGAGATCGAGGCCTGATTATGTGTTTGAGTTTTGATAACCTAATGATTCACTGTACATGTCTATTAGAATATATACATATATATATATATATATTTCTGAACGCACAGGTTTAAAAAATTGATTATGCTTGATTATGCAAACGTTTAGGGAACATTCCGTTTTGCAATCATGTGTGAATGTTACTTTTGAACGTGATTTTGGAAAGTTACTTTTGAACGTTACATTTGAACTTTACTTTTGAACATTACTTTTGAACGTTACTTTTTTAACGTGATTTTTTGAGCGTTACTTTTGAGCGTTACATTTGAACATTACTTTTGAGCGTTACTTTTGAGCGTTACTTTTTTAACGTGATTTTTTGAGCGTTACTTTTGAACGTTACTTTTGAACATTACTTGTGAACATTACTTTTGAACGTTACTTTTGAACGTTACTTTTGAGCGTTACTTTTGAACGTTACTTTTGAACATTACTTGTGAACGTTACTTTTGAACGTTACTTTTGAACGTTACTTTTGAACGTTACTTTTGAACATTACTTTTGAGCGTTACTTTTAAACGTTACTTTTGAACGTTACTTTTGAACATTACTTTTGAACGTTACTTTTGAACGTTACTTTTAAACATTACTTTTGAACGTTATTATTGAACATTACTTTTGAACGTTACTTTTGAACATTACTTTTGAATGTTACTTTTGAACGTTACTTTTGAGCGTTACTTTTAAACGTTACTTTGAGCGTTACTTTTAAACGTTACTTTTGAACGTTACTTTTGAACATTACTTTTGAACGTTACTTTTGAACGTTACTTTTAAACATTACTTTTGAACGTTATTATTGAACATTACTTTTGAACGTTACTTTTGAACATTACTTTTGAGCGTTACTTTTGAGCATTACTTTTGAGCGTTACTATTTTAACGTGATTTTTTGAACGTTACTTTTGAACGTTACTTTTGAACGTTGATTTCTTTGTCATAATATCCTCGCAGTGGTTACAGTGACCACAGTCATTGCATCTGCTGCACTTCATGTGTACCATTTTGTTTTATTGATTTATTTTTATTAATCTATTTACCTCTTATTTTTACTTTAACGGTAATAAAGATATTGTTTGATAAGTGAGATATCTGATTGAAGGCCAAAAAAAGTAGTGCTTGAATTTCATATTACAGTATCTGTACTAACCCTATGCATGTCATAAAAATGTCATGATTCTGCCATCATGTCATTGATTTTCCTAGTCTTGTGGCAGGATCATGGCAGAACCATGTTTTGTGTGCAAGCGCATGGCCTGTTGTTTGGGCCATGTGCTTGTGTTGTCTCGTTTAATACCCCGCCCCCTTGTTGTCCTCATCCTGTCATTATTACCTAGTCTGTGTCACCTGTTCCCCTCATTAGTTTCTCCCTTTATAATCCCCTTGTGTTTGCTGTCCGGTGCCGGTTCATTGTAAAACTTTGTCATTTTGTGAGAGTCTACCTCGTCTCAGAAGAACGTCTTGTATTTGCTGTTTGTTAATAGTCTAGTTTTTAGTCAAGTGTTATCTAGATTAGTTATCCCTCATTTGTATTGTCTCTGTTTTGCCCTGTTTTCTTTTATAATAAACCTTGTGTGTTAGCATACTGTCACATAGCAAAAAACGTATGCTGTTTCTCTATTACAAACGTTAATTTCTCTCCAGCCGTCTCCTGTTGAGGACAAACCCCGAGGTAAAGCTGTGGAAGTGAGTCTTCCCATCAGCCCTGAGGAATGGGCTCAGTTTGAGTGTCCCGAGGAGCTCCGGCAGGCCTTTGGTTCTGACGACGGCCCGTACAGCATCAACGGCTCGGCCCTCAGCGCGCAGGTCAGCATCACATGACAGATGTGCCACTGAGGGCGTCTCTCGCCTCACATGGGCTCTATCATACAGGTTGTGTTTATTGGTGTCGTTTCAGAGCCGAACTCTGTTTTATTTGGATCTGTTGGTGAGAGAGCTGGAATCAGTCTCGTTGACCCCGTTGACCTTTGCCCCTCTCCACTTGGCCGAGGTCATCGCTCATGACCTGATGAAGAGCAGGAGTCAGTCTGACCTCTACCGTCTCAGGTATCGCCCTGAACACAGTCACATGACATTAGATTCACAGCAGGATATGACATCACTTCCTGTCATCTCTCAGAATCATCAGGAACTGTCGGGATGTGGGGTTTGAGTGTCCGTACGGCGAGCAGCTCCTCAGCTTCACACGCGTTCCTGAGGACGAGCAGATGCGGTGCGACTCTTCAGTCCCTCGTCAGGTTTGGTCTCATCAGGCGCTTCGTTAGTTTAATGCAGCTTTATTTGATTTCAGGAGCCAGAAGGCCGTCCTGACCCACAGACACGGCGAGTCGGACCAGGTCAGCTTCTGATGGGATTTTTATGACCGCAATATTATACATTCAAGTAGTTAGATCTCATTTTACATAAATACATACATATGTACATACGCTATACAGTAAGAAGAGTTATGCACACAAGAGAAGCAGATCTATATCACGAAAATAAATTTGGGAAAAACATTAAATGATTACACTGTAAAAAAAAAAATGCTGTTCTTACTCAGTGTTTCTGTCTTGTTTCCAGTCCAAATCTCACATTTTTTGAGTGAAATGACATAAGATTTTATGTCTTGTTTTAAAACAAGTAAAATTATCTGCCAAAAAAAATCTTAATTCAAACAGAAAGCGTATTTTTCTCACTCCATTGGCAAATAATTTAGCTTTTTTTTTAAAGCAACAACTCACTGAATTTTTATTTATGTCCCCGGAAAACAAAACATTATCTCATGGCATTTTATTACTTTAATAAATGCATCTTGATTTAACAATTTTTGGGATATTTGGACTGGAAACAAGAGAAAAATACTAAGAAAAGCATTTTTTGTGGTGTAAATGATTAATGGTGAGTGAAAATAAGTTGGGAATGAAGCTTTTATGTGTGTGTTTAATGTCAGACGCTGTTGGCCGAAGAGGATCCGAGTAGAAGGACATTAGCCGGACACTGGCTGGCGAAGGCCGATGTGTGTATCAGCATGAACCTGTTTGAGCCGGCTAAAGTCCTGCTGAATCACACACACCTGATAGCTGAGGTGAGTGTGAACAAACACACATGATGGATGAAGGAACTTTAGCAATGACTGTTGTTTTGTTAGTAAACTACAAAAATGGCTGTTCGGAATCAAAGTAAGACATTTAATTATTCAAACATCTGCCAATAATCAGTGTGAGCTCAGATTTAAACAGATTTGTGGAAGGACAAAATAAGACCTTTTGTGTAATGATAGGCAAGTTATTCCTGTAGAAATCATATTTTTGTATTTCTGATATAAGACCAATTAATTAACTCATAATACTGATGAGGATTAAGTGAACTACTGTTGAAAAGTCACCAAAGCTGCATTTACTTGATCAAAAATAGAGTAAAAACAGTGAAATATTATTATAATGTAAATCATGTGTTTTCTATGAGAATATCCAGTAAAGTGTAATTTATTCCTGAATTTATCATCATTACTCCAGTCTTCAGTGTCACATGACCCTTCACAAATCACTCTAATATGAGGATCTGATGATCAACAAACATTTATGATTATTATCAGCATTCATATATTTGTGGAAACTGATACATTTTATTTATCAGGATTCTTTGATGAATATAAAGTTCAAAAGAACAGAGTCATCTTTTGTGACATTATAAATGTCTTTACTGTCACTTTTGATCAATTTAATGCGTCCTTGTCGTCATTAATTTTTTTTTTCATTCTGACTGCATGTTTGAATTGTGTGTTTAAAGTCATTAAATTTAATGCATTTTAGCACAGAGAGTATTTATAAAGTGTCATTTTCACGGTCCCTACAATCAGTCAATCACCAATATAATTGTCTTACGAGAAAGGAAAATGAATGCCACTCAAATGTATTTTGCTTTAAAGATATTAATTGTAGATATGTTTCCTGCGCTGTGTAATTTCAGTCAATCATCTGCTTTCTTACTCAGTGTTTCTGTCTTGTTTCCAGTCCAAATGTCTAAAGATTTTTAAATCAAGAAGCATTTACTAGATGAGTGACATGCCATAAGATATTATGTCTTGTTTTCTGAGGGAATTAACCAAAATAAAGTGAGTTGTTGCTTAAAAAAGCAAAATGATCAGAGAAAAATAATCTTAATTTAAACAGAAACGGGATTATTTTTCTGCTCACCCCATTGGCTGATTATTTTGCTTGTTTAAAGCAAAAACTCACTTTAATTTTGATTTATTTCCCCAGAAAACAAGACATAATATCTCATGCCATTTGATTACTTTAGTAAATGCATTTTTTTTATATATATATTTGGACTGGAAACGAGACAAAAACACCAAGTAAGAGAAGCTCTTCTTAAAGATCTTAAAGAGGTCCTTGTGGAGCTTGGAGGAACTTTAAACGATGCACACCTCATTATTTAGATACGTGTGTTTCAGAAACTTGGTGATCAGACGTCATTGGCCGAGAGTCTACACCTGCTGGCTGTTCTGGCCAATCAGGAGCAGAGATACCGCGAGGCTGTTGTCCTGTGTGAGCGAGCGCTGGAGATCGGCGGAGACGAGGAGTTCTTGCACCGGCTCGTTCAGACGCTGATGAGCGCTGTGGCGGGACGAGGAGGACAGGACACGCATCATCAGGTGCACAATGATTGACAGCCAGTTGGGGACTTTACATTTAACATTTAATATTCAACAATATTATGAGAACTGAACTGAACTGGACGGTGACATCACGGTTTTGTGTCTCTTATGATCGTATGTTTGCATATTATAATATTTTCCAGCTGCTTTAGTTCTTGGGCTCAATACGTCAAATTAAATGAAAAGTGCTTTTGTTGATCATTTCTAATGTAGGAGAGTTGTGTTGATGTAGATCATGGTGTGTGTGTGTTGTGCAGGTGTGTGAGATCACAGAACAGGCGTGCAGAACCATCAGAGCGGTTCTAGAGCAGAGACGGAACCGAGCTTCGGTCCTTCGCTTCTTCATGGCGGCGCTGGAGACCCGGTGCGCTGGTCACATGATCCATACTGGTAACCAGAGCTGAGATACGGCGACACTCATTCCTGTGTGTGTGTGTGTGTGTGTGTGTGAAGGGGGGCTGTTTTACGGCGGCGTTTGCTTCGTCCTGCTTCTCCGCTGTTCTGTCTGAGTGATGCGGACCTGCAGATGTTGACCTCAGTGTGTGACACACTCACACACACTTCCTCTGAACTACTGCAGCTGAGATACAGGACACACTCCGCTGAGGCCATGCGAGAACACGCCGACACGCTGAGGTGCAACACATGCTCTCACACACACACACACTTGTGCACATAATTATAAATTTTGGGGTCAAAATTTAATAATATTGATATATTTAAGTGATATGATTAATAATATGACTATTAACCCCTTAACGTCTGAATTTATATAGCTGTATATAAAAAAAATGTTTTATGTGTGTTTTTGCCTTTAAGTAGATGGTAAATAATGTTGAGATTATCAATTTCACTTTTGCACAACAAATAAATAGAAATTTTGGTATGTTGAAAATCTGTAACAGCGGGCATTAATGGTCAATTTGGAGTCAATTTGGTATGTTGCAAATCTGAAACAACGGGCATAATGGTCAATTTGGTATGTTGCAAATGTTCCTGACCGGAGAAATCCTCGTGCGTAAACAGGAAATAAGTCCGTCACTTTGAAACAAGTGCTTGTCGAAGGTCCTAGGTCCGTAGTGAATATGCACAAACCGGCATTGGGGGAATGCAGACGTTATCTCGGCTGGTTGACTGAGTCAAATGGTTTGTTGCATATTTGCGACATTGGGCGTTAAGGGGTTAAAGTGACCATAAACCAATTTATAATGTTACAAAATATTTTTACAATTTTTTTTTTTTTTTTTTTAATCAAATAAATGTGGCCTTGGTGAACAAAACGTACATTAAATCTTGCCAACCCCAATCTTTTGAACAGTAGTGTGTGTAATGATGTTGTTTTTTGGGGGTGAGATTTGACTTACATGACTATATATATATATATATAGTGTGTGTATTTATATATATATATATATATATATATATATATATATATATATAGTGTGTATTTATATATTCATATACTTCAGTAATCCTTCATAGTGTCAAATGCATGTTTAAACCAACAAAAAGTTAATGTACTCTCATTTAAATCCCGGTCTCTTAATTAATAAAAGGTCATGTGACCAGAATGAAATGCATGTTGTTGTTTGTTTGTCCATCTGTGGTAGATGTGAATGCGATGTTTGATTGTGTGTTCTTCATCAGAATGCTGGCCGTCCATGCGTCGAGTGTAGAGGAGAAACAGCGCCACCTTCTGCACGCATTGGCCATTATGAAGAAAGCCGTGTTTACCCAGCAGGAAGTCGTCGCTGAAGCCCTGAACGTTCTTCCTCCTCATGAGGTACGAGATGATCATCAGAAGCACGTCACATTAATCTCCTTCCATAATCACATCTGTTTCCTTCAAGGGGAACAAACGCGATTAGCACACGGGGAACTGTGATTGGGCTCTGCGTTCGTTAAGGTCTGTGTAACCGCTCACCGGCTCTTCTAATTCATTTTGCCTCACTCTGCATTATGGATTTTCATTTTCTCAAACGGATTATCTCATTAAAAAGCTCTAGGTGCTCATATTTATGAAGAGAGGGCGGCGAACACATTCAGCAAATTAGGAAATCTGAATTGCTAAAGTAATTAGACTCGATTTAAAGGAATCGTTCAGATCCTGCCGTCATTTATTCACCTTCCAAACCTGTAGACTGGCAAACAGAAGATATTTAGAAGAATCTCAAAGCTGCTCTTCGTCCATAATATGATCAAAGCCAAAATAAAAGTTTGGTTTAACTTGAAGAAATTATGACCGAAATATAGTAAAACCTCTCAAACTTATAATATTAATAATAATAAAATCAATCATTTAACTTTAAGGAATAATCACACAGGATTTTAACAGTAAACCTATTTATTTTGTTTGCAAAAAGACTTTTTAAAAGATTAAATAACTTGTCAGTGTTTATGTCTTTATTTTATTAAATTGTTTTTGCTAATAAATTTATACTAAATTATAAATCAAGAAAAATTAAAACACAGCAGAATTTCTGTAAAAATAAAACATTTTCATAATCATTTTGACGCATTTAGTTAATAAAAAAAAGCATCTCTAATCAATTGAATTCATAAAACTTATATATATGAAGAGTTCAGATGCAAAAGCCTCTAAATGCCATTTGAAATTTTCTTCTTTAATGACGATTTTTATCAAGCTTGTATATTTAAGTTCAGTAATTTCACTTAAATAACAATTAATAGGTAATTATCATCGCCATTTTAGTGAAATTACTGAACTTAAATATACAAGCTTGATAAAAATCGTCATTAAAGAAGAAAATTTCAAATGGCATTTAGAGGCTTTTGCATCTGAACTCTTCATATATATAAGTTTTATGAATTCAATTGATTAGAGATGCTTTTTTTTATTAACTAAATGCGTCAAAATGATTATTAAAACAACTAAAAGGAAAATCACAGAATGGAATGTTAGAAAAAAATAACATGCTAAACTTGTTAAACTTTAAGTAAATTGTTGTTATAGTGTATGCATTGTATTGTATTTTTATTCTATTTCTATTGCATTTAATGTAACCACTAAATTGGAAACCCCTAAAAAAAAAAAAAAATCTAGAAACATTTTAAAGAAAAAAAAAATGAAAAGAATTAGAAATCACCTTTAAATCATTGATGCGAGCTGAACCGCTGCTTGATCCACTGGTGGACGATCACACGTTGATCTGATTGGTTACAAGATCGTTTGTGACGTCAATGAGTGAATAACACCACACACACACATAAACAACATTAAACGCTGGAGTTTCACAACAGGGGGACTTTAAGATTGAAGAAGTAAACGAACAAAAGAAGTGTATTTGGTCTCTAACTCATTTGTGAACAGGTCGTTCCTGTAAGACCGGGTCACTTCCTGTTTTCATCCTCCATTTCCTCAGTCTCTGACCCTGATGAATAATTCATAACTCGTGCTGCGTTCGATCTTCTAACCCAGATTCACAGCGGGATTGCTCTGGCAAAAGTTTTTGTGGGAAACAAATCAGACACATTTTTACTGAGTGTGGTTTCTGTGATCATGCTTACTTTAATTAGTGTAATCGTGAATGATTCATCAAGTACGTAAATCAACGTTTGCTTGTTTTTGTAATGTTCATCAAAATATAATAAGGCAATGATTAATCACATCTAAAATAAAAGTTTATGTTTACATAATATATGTGTGTGTGTATTGTGTATAATTATTTACTATATATAAATACACACATGCATGTATACGTTTAAGAAAAAATAGTTATTTATATTGACCATTTTGCAAGATGTAAACAACACTGGTCCAGAAGCACTTCCTGTTTCAGTTTGGGATAAAATACAACCAACAGAACATATAAAACTGAATCGAAAAGTTAAACATCTTTAAGATGTTTTCTTTACATGTGAAATAAAGGAAACAGTTACAAACTGAAACAGGAAGTGTTTCTGGACCAGTGCTCTTTACATCTTGCAAAATGGTCTATATAAAATATTTATATATGATATAAATTATGTATATGCAGTATAAACATGCAAATATTTACAATATATGTGTATTTTATATATACTAAATAATTATACACAGTACACACACACATACTGTATACAGACTTTTATTTTGTATGCGATTAATTGTTGCCCAGCATTAAATAATAACTGTCACTCAAATAATAATGCTCATGATTGGTCAAATATGTATTCTTCACACACACCATCACATCAGTTTTCATCCTCAGTTTTCTGGTGGAAAATAAAAGTCTCGTATGCGAGTAAAAGCTGAACTCGTCAGTCCTGATGAATCCTGATGAGAATCGCTGTCTGACGTCACCATTTAACTCCATATATTTGTTATAATGTTATGATATTATTTGGTTCAGTGTCAGAAATCCACACGGACGCTGATCAGAATGAAGTTGTGATGTTCTCGTGTGTGTGTGTGTGTGTCCTGCAGTCTGGTTGGCGTAACCTCCCTGCGGTGCGTGTGTGTGTGTGTCTGAGACTGGCTCTGGCCGATCTGGCCCTGTTCATGCTGGACCTCCAGTGTGCCGAGGACAACAGGAAGTCCATCATCCGGGACAGGAAGTGCTCAGTAGAGAGAGCTCTGGAGGACTTCATCAGCGCTGACCTCACTGAACATGAGAGGGTGAGTGACGGGTAGAGTTAGTGTGAGGCGATATACTGTATATAAAGTTTGTACAGTATAAAAACCATTACATCTATGGAATGTAATCGTGTGTGTGTGTGTGTGTCCTCAGGACTGGTCTGCTGTGGGACTCTCTCTGGCTCAGGACGCTCTGACGCTCCTCTCATCTGTCACTTCGCTCTCGCTGGACTGTGTGGAGACCAGGGCCCGTTCGCTCGGCATGCTGGGAAGGTGTCTGAGAATACTAGCCCAGCAGAGAGACCCGCTGTACCCGTGCACACTGTGGGACGAGCCCGTCACGGTACACACACACACACACACACACCGACTGCTGAAAATGCCCTTTAAATGTCATGGAAATTCCAGGTCTTCTAGTTATGCGCTACTCTACAATATTTTATAATATTGCGTAAAGTCATTTTTTACTTCTGTTCAGCTTTAAGTTGACCGAAAGTGACAGTATAAACAAATGAAATCAAATAAATGCTGTTCTTCTGAAACGTTCCATTCCTCATCAAAGAATCCTGAAAAATTAAATATTTCACAGTTTCCACAAAAATAGTATTTGATAATAATCATAAATGTTTGTTGATCATCAGATCCTCATATTAGAGTGATTTGTGAAGGATCATGTGACACTGAAGTAATGATGCTGAAAATACAGGAATAAATTACACTTTACTGTATACTGTATATCTCTTTTACATTTATATTTAAAAACATTGTACTGTATTAAATGTCCAACTTGTGCATGATTTAAGGCATTTTTTGGTCAATCATAGTTGAATGAGGCGTTTCCCTGAACTGTGATTGGATCTGCAGCTCGACAGTCCTGTATTGTTTTAAATAATGTGGTTTTAACGACGGTTTTAGGAAACAGTCGTGACTAGCTAGTTAGTTGCATTAGTCTATGGTGGTTAAGCAGTGAGCTAATGACTAGAAAAAGTCCAGCAAAAGTCATTAAACATCGATGGAAACCTTGTTATAATGATAAAAAAAGATCGTTTTTGTCATTTGTCCTTAAAAATGAGGGTCTGGCATCATCATATAATCACACACACACAGTGTAGTTACGAGCTCTGGGAGGAACAGAGGCTTTCAGTCAGTCACGGTATAGATTTCCATTCTTCTCCACCTGTTTAAACTCATTTGATTCTGCGTTTGGGCCTAATTTTCCTCGGCATTAATTCCCCCTCTTGAAGACGCTTTCCTCCAGACTGCCATTGATTGACAAGGACTCAATATGAGCTGTTCCTCCAGGATGAGGACGGGGCCGAGAGACGGGGCAGCCAGGACTATAATGAGGAGGAGGAGGAGCAAGTGAAGACGGACACTGAGAAGAGGCCGTATGCTGGCAAAAGTGCAGAGCTGCAGGTGCATGTGCACACACACACACACACACACACACACACATTCATGTCATTTTTGGCTGTGTAGTTCAAGTTTGTGTGTGTGTTATCAGAGCAAGCGGAGAGCAGCGCAGCGGCTGTTGGCTCAGGCCAGTGAAACTCTCAGTCAGTCTTTGAGTCTGAGTCTTCATCACGACCTTCCTCATCTTCTTCCTCACGTGTGCTCAGATCTGCTGGAGTGTCACGGTCAGTTTGACCTCGGCGCCAGCGGGCAGTTCCTCGCTCTACTGCAGGTGTGTGTTCATATCTCACTCAAACACCTGTGACTCTCTTTCCTTCTTAGCACAAATTAGCCATCATTTGAATGCTTTAGTGTTTGTGTGACCTGCATGTGCACATGTGATGTGTGTGTAACTGATGAATATTGATCTGATCTCAGAGTGGTGTGTGCTGTGCCGAGATGTGCTCCGTCCTGCTCTCGATCTGCTCCGGTGTCAGTGGGTCTCAGGTGTGTGCGCTGATGAACCTGCGGGAGAAGCTGCTCTCTTCACAGGGTCACAGACCCGACGGTGTGCTGACAGCAGTGAGCCGAGAGCTCAGCCGTCTCTCTAAGGTACTCACTGACAGCCTGTTCATGTTAATGCTCTCACCCTGTCATGGCCGTTCACACTGCATGTGGTCCTTGAGCATACTATGAGTGTCATTTTGTGTTTATGCATTTCATTTTGTGCATGTGCATGTCATTTTGTGTATATGCATGTCATTTTGTGCATATGCATGTAATTGTTGTGCATATCCCTGACATTTTTGCACATATGCATGTCATTTTTGTACATATGCATGTCAAGTTGTGCTTATCCATGTCATTTTTGTGCATATGCATGTCATGTTATGCATATACACAAAAATGACATGCATATACACGCATATGCACATCATTTTGTGTATATGCATGTCAAGTTGTGCTTATCCATCATTTTTTTCCATATGTATGTCATGCATATACACAAAATGACATGCATATGCACAAAAATGTCATTGTTGTCCATGTGCATGTCATTTGTGTAAATGGATGTCATTTTTGTGTAAATGGATGTCATTTTGTGTATATGCATGTCATTGTTGTCCATATGCATGTCATTTTGTGTATATGCATGTCATTGTTGTCCATATGCATGTCATTTTTGTGCATATGCATGTCATGTTGTGCATATGCATGTCATTTTTGTGCATATTTATGTCATTTTGTGTAAATGCATGTCATTGTTGTCCATATGCATGTCATTTTTCTGTATATGCATGTCATTGTTGTCCATATGCATGTCATTTTGTGTATATGCATGTCATTGTTGTCCATATGCATGTCATTTTTGTGTATATGCATGTCATTTTTGTGCATATGCATGTCATTTTTGTCCATTGTTGTCCATATGCATGTCATTGTTGTCCATATGCATGTCATTTTTGTGCATATTTATGTCATTTTGTGTAAATGCATGTCATTGTTGTCCATATGCATGTCATTTTTCTGTATATGCATGTCATTTTGTGTATATGCATGTCATTTTTGTCCATATGCATGTCATTTTTGTGTATATGGATGTCATTTTGTCCATATGCATGTCATTTTTGTGCATATGCATGTCATTTTTGTGTATATGCATGTCATTTTTGTCCATATGCATGTCATTTTTGTGTATATGCATGTCATTTTTGTGTATATGCATGTCATTTTGTGCATATGCATGTCATTTTTGTCCATATGCATGTCATTTTTGTGTATATGAGATGAATTGAGTAGAAGTATTTGAGTTTAGACTGTTATCTGCAGCTTTTCACGCTTCATGTGTCTCATCACTCTTTCAGGCCTTCAGTCACCTGACCATAAACCCAAACCACCTGAGGATTCTGGGAGAAATGCCTCCCAACTTCAGGATCCTGCTGCTCCAGCACTCAGAGGACAGGTGGGATGGCAGATTCTATTCTATTATGGAAATATGTGTTTAGATTTATGCTTTACAAACTGTTTCAAAGCAGCTTCAACCAACGATGCAGACTTCATTAAATATGAAACGTATTTAATTTCCTGCTGTAAAGCAACTCTACAGAAGGCGATAGTGTCACATTATAAACCAAATCAAACACCATGCTCTGCATTCTATTCTACTGTATTTTATGCTGTTCTATTCTGTTTAATTCTATTGCATTTTACCCTGCTCTGTTCTTCATTTCTCTCGTTTTTATTCTGTTAACTGCTGTGTGTTCTGTCCTGGTGTAGTTCTGTGCTGTACGGCGGCTACTATGAGAAGGTTAAAGCCACAGAGACTCAGAAAGGAAAGAGTGTGACTGGTAACCGTTACTCCTTTACCTTTTTACATTTGCAGACACCGATTAGTTCATGAGTATGAGTGTGTTGTGTAGGTGGTCTGATCTGCTCTAGACTGGTCAAGGCCTGTGTCCACAGATCATCTCTACTGAAGCTCCACAAACACCTGGAAGAGTTCAAACGTCTGAGCGCACAGACACACGTGAGAGCTTCAACATCTTTCAATATGAATACTTGAACATCAAAACATTTTCTAAAATCTTTCACTCTCTTCATAAAGGAAGGGAAAGCTGGAAAGCGGGACGAGTGTTTTAAAGCACTTCTTGAGGAAATGGAGCAATACTTGCACCCTGTTCTCTCACAGCTTGACTTTTCATGCTTTAGGTACCAACACACACACACACAATCTCATGAGTCTGGGTGCAGGAACATCATATTTGACTTTGGTAAAGAGTTATTGCACCTATAAATGTTCATTTCTGTCCCATGTTTAGCGTCCTGTGTGAAATATGTGATGATCTGCCCTCATCTTTCTCTAATTTCCGCTTCTGTCTTATCAGTGTTGGTTCCCCGTCCTTCTCCACGTCGGCCCGAGCCAAAGACAAGGAGGAGAAGACCACTGATAAACTTCTGGCGGGTACGACACGCTGGACAGACAAACACGTCTAGAACGGAGATTAGCATTAGCATTAACTGCCTTCAACACTGATAATAATCATAAATGTTTGTTGATCCTCATATTAGAGTGATTTGTGAAGGATCATGTGACACTGAAGACTGGAGTAATGATGATAAACTCAGGAATTAATTACACTTTACTGTATACTCACATAGAAAACAGATGATTTACATTATAATAATATTCCACTATTTTTACTGTATTTTTGATCAAATAAATGCAGCTTTGGTGAGAAATGTCTCTACTAGAGTTCAGCTGCTGTTGCTAACACTGAGAGAAAATGTTTCTCAGGAGAGCGTATGGGCGTGAGATGATTTGGTATGTGCACATAAGAAGATGTTTGATATGGAGATCAAATATGACATCTGAGGAGTTGAAATATTGATCGGATTTCCAGGCCCGTGTCTGAGATCAAGTCCATCTTTAGCTGTAAAATATGCACCAATAAAACATCCCCACATGCAATGTGAAGCTCACAGTAAATACAGAAAATGTGAAGCACACAGAAACTAACTCAACCATCATTTATGGAACTTCAGAGGAACTATAATTCGATTTTACATGTTCGTGTGTTTGAGTTCTCCTCTATATCAGCGTCAGTGTTTCTGAACTCCTGAAACGCCTCCATTGTAGTCTCGAGTTTCTCCCGGGAAACGAACATGTCACAATATTCCTCATTATAATAATTAATGCACAGAATAAAGGGGCGGGGCCTGGTTGAGTTAGTTAGTAGTGTGTTAAACTGGCGGTTATGGAAAGGGGCGGGGCATTTCCCAAACACACTCAAAGCGCTCGACCAATCACAACACACTGCTCCAGCTGACCAATCAGAGCACAGTGTGCTTTCAGAAGGAGGGGCTTCATAGAGACAGAAAGTGAACAGAGCATTACTGACCATAGACGTATACACTAGATCTCACCTTGGCTACGGCAATTCATTGGAACGAATGCGTCAATATAGCCGCCATCTTGAAACAGGAGAGCCCCTCCACTATAATGCATCAGCGTCAATGTAGTAGACACAGGTCTAACGGAAATTAAATCATCATGAATGCGATTTTTCTTGTTTTTTTGGTTTGTTCCAACGGTCAGACATGTATTTATCATTAATTCCAGAAAGAATTTATTTATTTATTTATTTATTTTTTAAAAACATTCTTCCTAGTTTCATCCGTGAACATCATACGCTGCACAAAAGTCCGCCACCATCAATGAATTCGAAGTAAAGGCAGAGATAGCAGCGTTATCTAGCTACTTCCTATGACAAGACCCCTGTTCCAAGATGGCGGCGGTTTTGACGCATGCTTAGAACCCCAAGGTGACGTCTAGTGTATATGTCTATGGCTACTGACAGACTGGGAAGAGAGGAGCCGCAACAACGGAGAATAATGCAGGAAAACCTGCTGACGTCTTTAAAATAAAAGTGCTGAACGTCTGTGTGTGTGTGTGTGTGTTCTCCAGATCCTGGCGAGTGTGTGGTGATTCTGGCTGACCGGATGTTGTTGGAGTTTCCACTAGAAGCGTTGAGTGTCCTACAGGCGGACGGCATCGGCTCCGTGTCTCGAGACTTCTCACTTCAGGTTCTTCATGCACGCCTACAGACGGACGATACAGGCGAGTTTATCCTCCATTATACACCGCATATCGGTTTCACTGAACACCAGAGGCTGTTTGTGTGTTTGTGTTGCTTGCTGTGATATCACCGAACTGTGCACTGTTGTATCCGGGAATGAGTGGACATCCTGAACTGACCTGGAATCAGTGAATAAGTGTTGCTGTTTCCTAGCGTCACCAGAGCTGATTCTCCATCCGTAGTTCACTTCTGCTGAACAGTTTTAAGAAGTTCGTCAGAGTAAAGATGACGAGCGCCAGAAGAAGTCGGAAAACATCCTGAGGTTTTTCCTGTCGCAGCTTTAATCACCTCATTCACAAACCCCGAATGAAAACCTCACGCTAATAGGAAACACTCTCTCCGTCAGGATTTAGCAGCTCGTAATCTCTTTAAAATTCAAATGTGCCGTTGCATTTGGGACATGTTTTACATTTTTATTTGTGTAATTAATTCATTCATTTTCAGCTCGTGCTCGGCTTCTGCATGTACGTTGACAAATTAAAAACGTACACTTGCAGCGCTCCTCGTGTCGAGGGCTGACACTCGTGCGGATTAAGGGAAGGGAAGGTTTAGGGCTGGGAGATGTAATGGGGAAACTGTTGTTTTTCTCTCTAATTAGTTCAAGTACACTTCTCAAACGCACTTTACAAACTAATCATTTGACAAACATTTGTTTGTAATGATGAAATCAATAAATTTAGAGATGCACGGGATATCGGCCACCGTATCAGTATCGGACGATTTATGTTCATTTTTAATAATATCATTATTGGCTTGATAAGAAAATATTGTATGGTAACACTTTACAGTCCCTCCAGGATTTCACGATTTTTTTTTTGTGATTTTTGCGATCAAAATGACTGATTTTGTGGTGGTAATTTCCAAAAATTTGTGAAAAAATTAGCGATTTATATTTAACATTTACCATAATAGTATTCAGTTCTTCCAGAAAAATGTTTTTTTTTGTGATTGTTGCGGGCAAAAATTGATTGATTATGCGGCCCGTTTTCTTTAAAAATGCGATGGAATATGCGGGATATTTATGCAATTTTATGCGATGAAATTGCAGGAATTTGCAAAAATTGAGGGAACTTGCAAAAATTGCGGTTTGATGAAAAAGAGAAAAAAAGTGATCTCCCCCAACATCCTGTTAATGTAAGAGTCATTTCTTATTACTTCCTTTGATAAACAAGCATACTACATCATAGAAAGTGCTGGGAATATTTAATTTCTCATCTTGTTTTATTTCAGACTGTAAGAGTGTAAATAAGGTGTGGCCCCTTTAAGAGCTGTTGAACTCTCTGCAGTGTTATATGTGCGCCTCGAACACCCCATGTGTGCGGGTAATTTCTGTTTGATGCTACTTCTTTTATCTTATGTTGTTTATTAAGTAACGATGTGACAGTAGATCGTGCGACACACAGTTATACGAGTTCGATTTGTGAGATGTCGATCGCCTCCGTGAGTCTGTCCGGCGTCGCGTAATTGCGTCACTTCATAACGTTCCCATGGAAACAGGGGGAAATGGCTGCTCTTATGTGAAGCAAATGCAACATTTTTCAACTTTCTGATAAGATACATGTGACTTTTTTGCAACGAAAATGCGAGGATTATGAAATCATGCAAACCCCGCATATTTTGCACGTAAATCGGCAATTTATGCGGCGAAAGTGCGGCGTATTTGAAAAAATGCGGCCCCCGCATAAATATGTGGACTTTGGCTGATTTTGCATTGAATTCAGCGATCGCATAATCGCGTTTTTCTGGAGGGACTGACTTTACTTGAAGTTTTGGGTTACACTTTATTTGTTATTACGCATTTAAGTGCTGTGTATAATAATGTGCTTACTATAAGGTTAGGGTTTGGTTTTGGGCTAGTTGTATGTAATTATGCATAATCTATAGTTTTTACTACAGTAATTACATTTAGCAAGGGCACTTTGTTGTTATTTGATGTATATGAAATATTTTCTTTGTTCAATTAATCTACTGTCCCTATACTGTGGAAATCTGTGAAGGGGATTTTAATATTTCATAGGGATTTTAACTTCAACCTTTAGCATTTATCTTTTTCTCTGAATAATTGTTTGGCACTTCTCCAGCACTAAAATGCCATATGCAAATGATTGCAGTTGTATTTCTTCAGTCTGTGCTGCTGTATAATACCAGGAGTTATGATGTATTATCTGTCCACTTCAGTGTGTTGATGCTCAAAGTGACTCATTATCATGTGGGACAGTCGTTAGCATTATTAGCATTGTGTCAAGAAGACGTGCTTTTAGTAATTTTACACCATGTTTTGCATAACTGAATAAATTACAGCATTGAGGAAATTCAACATTATATTTTCCTCATATGAAGCTCTTGTTTTGAAGTTTTATCTGATATATATGCATTATTATCTCCACCATCATCAGTCACTGTTTTTCGATTATGTATTCATCTGTCATTGTAGTTTAAAGCAGTTTTGGTCTATAAACCATTTTTCCTATGTATTGATTTTGAATATTCACTCACCATATTTGTGCCATTTGATGATGTAAAAGATGAATGGCTGATTAATGCATCCTCGCGACAGCGACTCCTACTGGTCATAAACTTTAAAAAACAGTTGTGCTGCTTCAACAAAAGTGATTTTTTTTTAATATTAGAACTAGATTTTTTTGTAACACTGTACAATTATCATTAGTCACTGCATTAGTTAACAACTCTGAAGTAAAAACAGTTCTAGTAAAAAGTTTCGAGTCCAACATTTCGAGTAAACTGTTTCCCTCTAATGAGTTGCATCAAAGAAAGTCCCAATTAAATGTGATGGTGCAGAACTGAAATTGTTCAGCGTGACGTGTTTACGTGACTTTTGCTGGAGGCAGATGAATGTCTCTGTTGCATTAACTCACATTATTGAAGAACACAGTGGCTGATATTAAATGTCACTGGCCTTTGCGAGTGACTGTAGGAGCAGTGCACTAGTTTTCACTCTATAACAAGCCAGTCAGAGACTAATTTCCGGTTTTAATAATCTTTCTCGTCAGTGACGATTGAAAGTGACAATAAGAAAGAGGCCAAAGGTGTCCGAGGAGTCAAGGGGAGAGCCGATCAAAGCCGAGGAATCAAAGCGGTGAGTTTCCTAAACGAGTCTGGCGACCGCTGATAGAGACACACACGTTCGCTTCCCGTTCATTGCCTCTCATACACGGAAAAATGCTCTCCTTACTTGGTATGTTTGTCTTGTTTCCAGGCCACATATCAAAACGTTCTTAAATCAAGATGCATTTACTAAAGTAGGAAAATGCCGTGATATTATGTCTTGTTTTCTGGGGAAATAAATCAAATTGAAGTGAGTTTAGGCTTAAACAAGAAAAAAGATCTGCCATTGGGGTGAGAAATAACCTGTTTCTGTTTGAATTATATCATTGGCGGATAACACAGCTTGTTTTAATCAAAAACTCACTTCATTTTCCTGGAAAGCAAGACTTAATATCTTATGGTATTTTACTCATCTAGTACATGTATCTTGATTTAAGAATTTGTATAAATTTGGACTGGAAACAGGACAGAAACACTGAGTAAGAAAAGTATTTTTGCAGTGTAATGACTGAGGACTCTTCGCTCTTCTTCAGTTCGTAAAGTAAATTGACCTTCTTCTTTTCCGCAGGTTCTGGTCAATCGTGTCCCGCCGCCACACACCGTCCCAGTGGACACACACCGGTTCAGATGTATCCTTCACTTTCTTGTGTGTGTGTGTGTGCATGTGTGAAATGTCAGAATGGTCACTTACATTTTTTTTATTGTAAAATAGTTTGTAGAAATCTTTCTTAACTCAGGCTTGAAGATGTAGTTGACTCACAGGAGGAGGAAGAGGAGGATGAGGAAGGAAAATGGGCTGGTGAGTTTAACAAGTTTCAGAAACATTTGACTCTAATGTGACAGATTTTTAGTGAAAGCAGGTGAAAGCATTATAATTGTATGAAGGATAATCATAATAAGATGAGGGGTTGTATTGGGATGAGGGATGTATTGGGGTGATGGGTGTATTGGGATGATGGGTGTATTGGGATGTATTGGGATGAGGGTTGTATTGGGATGAGGGTTGTATTGGGATGATGGATGTATTGGGATGAGGGATGTATTGGGGTGATGGGTGTATTGGGATGATGGGTGTATTGGGATGATGGGTGTATTGGGATGTATTGGGATGAGGGTGTATTGGGATGATGGATGTATTGGGATGAGGGGTGTATTGGGGTGATGGGTGTATTGGGATGAGGGATGTATTGGGGTGATGGGTGTATTGGGATGATGGGTGTATTGGGATGATGGGTGTATTGGGATGTATTGGGATGAGGGTTGTATTGGGATGATGGATGTATTGGGATGAGGGGTGTATTGGGGTGATGGGTGTATTGGGATGAGGGATGTATTGGGGTGATGGGTGTATTGGGATGAGGGATGTATTGGGATGAGGGGTGTATTGGGATGAGGGATGTATTGGGATGAGGGGTGTATTGGGATGAGGGATGTATTGGGATGAGGGGTGTATTGGGATGTATTGGGATGATGGGTGTATTGGGATGAGGGGTGTATTGGGATGAGGGTTGTATTGGGATAATGGATGTATTGGGATGAGGGATGTATTGGGATGAGGGATGTGTTGGGACGAGGGTTGTATTTGGATGTATTGGGATGATGGGTGTATTGGGATGATGGGTGTATTGGGATGATGGGTGTATTGGGATGTATTAGGATGAGGGTTGTATTGGGATGATGGATGTATTGGGATGAGGGGTGTATTGGGATGAGGGATGTATTGGGGTGATGGGTGTATTGGGATGAGGGATGTATTGGGATGAGGGGTGTATTGGGATGTATTGGGATGATGGGTGTATTGGGATGAGGGGTGTATTGGGATGAGGGTTGTATTGGGATGAGGGATGTATTGGGATGAGGGATGTGTTGGGACGAGGGTTGTATTTGGGTGTATTGGGATGAGGGATGTATTGGGATGAGGGTTGTATTGGGATGAGGGATGTATTGGGATGAGGGATGTGTTGGGACGAGGGTTGTATTTGGGTGTATTGGGATGAGGGATGTATTGGGATGAGGGTTGTATTGGGATGAGGGATGTATTGGATGAGGGATGTGTTGGGACGAGGGTTGTATTGGGATGAGGGTTGTATTGGGATGAGGGATGTATTGGGATGAGGGATGTGTTGGGACGAGGGTTGTATTTGGGTGTATTGGGATGAGGGATGTATTGGGATGAGGGTTGTATTGGGATGAGGGGTGTATTGGGATGAGGGATGTATTGGGATGAGGGTTGTATTGGGATGAGGGATGTGTTGGGACGAGGGTTGTATTTGGGTGTATTGGGATGAGGGATGTATTGGGATGAGGGTTGTATTGGGATGAGGGATGTATTGGGATGAGGGATGTGTTGGGACGAGGGTTGTATTTGGGTGTATTGGGATGAGGGATGTATTGGGATGAGGGTTGTATTGGGATGAGGGATGTATTGGGATGAGGGATGTGTTGGGACGAGGGTTGTATTTGGGTGTATTGGGATGAGGGATGTATTGGGATGAGGGTTGTATTGGGATGAGGGATGTATTGGGATGAGGGATGTGTTGGGACGAGGGTTGTATTTGGGTGTATTGGGATGAGGGATGTATTGGGATGAGGGTTGTATTGGGATGAGGGATGTATTGGGATGAGGGATGTGTTGGGACGAGGGTTGTATTTGGGTGTATTGGGATGAGGGATGTATTGGGATGAGGGTTGTATTGGGATGAGGGATGTATTGGGATGAGGGATGTGTTGGGACGAGGGTTGTATTTGGGTGTATTGGGATGAGGGATGTATTGGGATGAGGGTTGTATTGGGATGAGGGATGTATTGGGATGAGGGATGTGTTGGGACGAGGGTTGTATTTGGGTGTATTGGGATGAGGGATGTATTGGGATGAGGGTTGTATTGGGATGAGGGATGTATTGGGATGAGGGATGTGTTGGGACGAGGGTTGTATTGGGATGTATTGGGATGAGGGTTGTATTGGGATGAGGGATGTATTGGGATGAGGGATGTATTGGGATGAGGGGTGTATTGGGATGTATTGGGATGATGGGTGTATTGGGATGTATTAGGATGAGGGTTGTATTGGGATGATGGATGTATTGGGATGAGGGGTGTATTGGGATGAGGGATGTATTGGGGTGATGGGTGTATTGGGATGAGGGATGTATTGGGATGAGGGTGTATTGGGATGTATTGGGATGATGGGTGTATTGGGATGAGGGGTGTATTGGGATGAGGGTTGTATTGGGATGAGGGATGTGTGGGACGAGGGTTGTATTTGGGTGTATTGGGATGAGGGATGTATTGGGATGAGGGTTGTATTGGGATGAGGGATGTATTGGGATGAGGGATGTGTTGGGACGAGGGTTGTATTTGGGTGTATTGGGATGAGGGATGTATTGGGATGAGGGTTGTATTGGGATGAGGGATGTATTGGGATGAGGGATGTGTTGGGACGAGGGTTGTATTGGGATGAGGGTTGTATTGGGATGAGGGATGTATTGGGATGAGGGATGTGTTGGGACGAGGGTTGTATTTGGGTGTATTGGGATGAGGGATGTATTGGGATGAGGGTTGTATTGGGATGAGGGGTGTATTGGGATGAGGGATGTATTGGGATGAGGGTTGTATTGGGATGAGGGTTGTATTGGGATGAGGGATGTATTGGGATGAGGGATGTGTTGGGACGAGGGTTGTATTTGGGTGTATTGGGATGAGGGATGTATTGGGATGAGGGTTGTATTGGGATGAGGGATGTATTGGGATGAGGGATGTATTGGGATGAGGGATGTATTGGGATGAGGGTTGTATTGGGATGAGGGATGTATTGGGATGAGGGATGTGTTGGGACGAGGGTTGTATTGGGATGTATTGGGATGAGGGCGAGTAAGTGTTGACTGTGATGGTGAACTAACGCTTTAATCTGCTCTGGTTTGTTGAGATCGGAGCCCAGCAGAAAGCATGAGGCAGAGTCTCGACACACACTCTCAGTTGACGGCTCAGTGGGAAGGGCTGATGGGCGTGGAGCGCCAGCGCAGGTCTGAGGCCGCAGTCACACACACGTTTCAGAAGCTGAGAGTGAGTGAGTGTGTGTGAAGATGATGTTTGTTCCTCAGTCTTGCAGATGTGGAGCAGCTGCTGATGTCCTGTAGTGCGTTCATCTACTCGTCTGCCAAGAGCTTCTTCTCCGGCTTTCCTCCAGTCAAGATGGCCTCGCTCAACCTGTCCGGTAACACTCAACACGTAACACACTTATGTCAATCTATTGCCAAGGCAACATTTCTTATTTTCAATTAGTTTTTCAACTAATGTTTATATTAAATTTTGTTTTAGTGTTATTTCAATTAACAGAAATGTTTTAGTAATTGAGTTTTTTTAGTTGTTTGTATCTACTTTGATTTAAGAATGTTTCGATATTTGTGCTGGAAAACGAGACTGAAACACTGAGGAAGAAGATGACGAAGGCCTCAGCAGGATCTATTATTATTTATGAATATGAAGAGACCACCTGCAGAATTACACATTTGTGTAGATTTGTTACGGCTTGTTTGATCTCATTAGAACTGAATGTGACTTTATGAGGTCGGCAGCAGACCTGATGATGATGTTTTATGAATATTCATAGTGCGCTTCTGGAAAATAAGCTTGTTTTACATGCTCTAAATCAACGTTCGGCACATTTTTAAACTCTTCACCCTCTTCATGGCTTCTGTAAATCTACAGTATGTTAGAAATACTCTTTAATTGGATAAATAACCTTAAGCATCCGAAGTGGAATTGATCCTAATAAGTGTCTGAATGTTCAGAGTATCACTTTAAGTTACACTGATGTTTTCCTTTGCTTCATGTGATGTAAAACATGCCTTTCACATTCAGTCAGTCTCTTATTAGGAAGTTTGACACTCATCTGACACTATAGATCACTGGTTCTTAATGAGTTAAAATGATTTTAATTAGTCCAGAATTACAGTAGTGTCAGATATAAATTACATCAGTAGTTCCTACATTCATAAATAACATACCTAATGTTTAAAAATACACTGAAAAGAATCACCATGATTTTACACAGCTAAATGCAAGGGTATTATTTAGGGAGGGATGCACAGATATATGAACATTTTGCCAAGATTAATTCTTTAGATTTGAAAGCCGAGAACCGATATATTGGCCGATAAATCTAAAGTTTTGTATCATTTTTGAGAGCCTGAGTACAAAAAACTAAACAAAAGTGTCACCTTTAAAAACATGTCCAGAACACTTCAACATAAATCAAACAAAAAACATTTTTTAATAAATTTTACACTCCTATAGTCAACTTTCCTTACCTCCAAAAATACATAATTATAATCATATTTCAATCAATTCAAAACTATCATGTTGATCAGTGCGCATCCGAGTCTCAGCTGGAGGAAATAATACATCATTTATCAGCTTTATTATATCGGCCGAATCTTCATATCGGACCGATGATTGTAACATTAAAAGTGGACATATATCGGCCGATATCTTGTAGAAATTGTGCGCGTAAGAAAATGTTTGTTATTTTTAATTATTTTTATATTTTTTTAAATGATTACCATATAGTTATAAAAATCTTTCTAAATGTGAAATAATAACTATAATGATAACGAGACATCTTTGGAATCACTTTCAGAACGATTGTTTCCAGCTGATAAATGATACAAAACTCGACAGCCAATCAGAATCCACCCTGCTTTAGGGCCGGAGCATTTAAAGCGACAGAGCGCTTATAATAAAGGCTAGAATAGTTATCAGTGCAGTTGTTGTTCTGGTTGTGAACAGGCTTTTATTTCTAATCCTGGAAATGTTCATTGGTTAAAAAGAAGGAACTGTTGAAGATCATTGAGCTCCTGAAATGTCAGATCAGAGAATGACTTTCTACAACATCAGTAACTCTATTGAGAGTGTTTGTACAGGTTCTCCCGCAGGTTTAATCCTCTCGACACACACACAACTCAATAATCCAGCGGCTCTCTTCATTTCTACACTAGTGAACGATTCCCGCCGAATACGAGCCGTTTCCACAGCAATTACACTGCAAAACATGCTTTACTCAGTGTTATAAATATCAAAAAAATTATTAAATCAACATGCATTTGATAAAGTAGTATAGCATATGATAATACATCTTGTTTTCTGGGCATACAAATCCAAATTTTGTGAGTTTTTGCTTAAAACAAGCTAAATTATCAGCCAATTTAGTGAGAAAAATAATCTCGTTTCTGTTTAAATGAAGATTGTTTTTCTGACCCGATTCGATTGCAGATCATTTTGCTTGTTTTAAGCAACAACTCACTTCATTTTGATGAATTCCCCAGGAATCAGGACATAATATATCTAATATTTCACTGGTGTGTGTGTGTGTTTTTAGGATGTGGGATGCTCTTCCTGTTGGACCGCGCTCAGAAACCGGTCAGCGTCCAGAAGAGGTGACACACACACACACACACATTCAATAGAAAGTCAAACTCCTTTTTTAGCATGGCATTTACAAATGATCAAAATTGATTTAATCTATAAAGCAGATTGAGGAAAGAGCTTTATTGTGTTTGTTTTATTGGCGTGTGCTTTATTGATCTCTAGAGTGTAATTACGGCAAGAGTTATGCTTCTCTTTCACACACACACACACACACACACGTCACTGCTAATAATATTATCAGGAGAGATCATTGAGACACTATCATAGATTTAATTAATGATTTTTATTTTTGTTTTCCATTTAAATTAATTTTATGTTAAAGTTTTAGGAAGTTATTTTTAGTTATTTATTAATTTTAGTTTGCTATTTTGCCACATCCATGAAACTAAATGAGAATGTTCATTTATTTTGAAGTCACAGGAATGTGTGTTAGGTTTCGTGATGTCAGTACATTGATTGGGCGCTCTCTCCTCGGCCGGATGATCCATCATTCAGGCTCAGATTATTGTTTTCATATAGCCAGAGATATGACCAAAGCATATAGATCAGTCACCGTTTCCTTTTGTCAGCTGATATATTCATTAGCATACAGACGAGCACAGAGATAATAAGACACAAACGCTAATTCTGCATTGATTTACTTCATAAGAAAGGATGATGTCATGCAGTCTCACAGATCAATTCAATTAAGTGTAGAAATAGTGCAGAATCGCACATTTTCTTAATCCAAATTTGCAGGTTTAAATGAAAAATATCCCATATTTAAAACGTGTTCTCAAACTTTTCAACTGAGAGTATTGAAGGAGTGTTTGCTGTGAACACTTGTGATCCAGATCTCTCTCTCTCTCTCTCTCTCTCCAGACGGGCTTTGGCCGGTTCTGTCGGGTCGGGGTATCTGATGACTCTCGGGGGGGTTCGTTCAGTCCTGCTCAACCAATGGCACAGCAGCGCCTCAGCCAACGCTCGAGTCCTGCGCTCGCTCATGGACGGTGAGTCACACATTTACGCGCATGCATTCGGCTGACGCTTTGCATTGCATAAACAAAAAAACTTCAAAAATGGGAGCGTTCACTGGATCTCGACCCCTCCGGATGGCCTTCAGGAACACTGCACAGTAATCTACTGGACCGTTTGCTGTCACACTAGTTTCACGCAGATATTGCTACTGAGTTTCACAATTAAATGTGAAATGTTTGAGGTAGAAACTCTTACAATATAAAGCCTTTATATATAACACACTGTAAAAGATCTTTAATGCATTGATCATGCCTTCTTATAATGCATTGTGTAAAGTATAATGCATTAAAACACATGACAAACAGCCACTCTGGAACTGGATATTTATAAAGATATGATGCGTTATAGTGTATATGATGAATACCTTTATAATGCATCAAACACAAATGCTTTAAATAAAGTGTTTCCATATTTAGACTCCAATCATCTCTTATTTACAACTTTACACACACACACACACACACATGTGATGCTTCTTCAAAAGCACTTTTGAAATCAACTTCATATGTGTGTGTAGATGTTTTGAACACAGGACTGACTTCAGGACGAGCGGCTCATGTTTTACGCACACACACGTCAGAAAGAGCAGAAGTCAGCGCAACATCAGGTGTGTGTGAGAATAATAGTGTGAGTCTATGTGTTTGAGAGAGCGTGTGTTTTTTGTGTGCTGATGTGTCTGTGTGTGTGTGTGTGTTCCTCAGGCGAGGGTTCGGCTGTAAACTCTTCCTCTGAGGACGTCCTGAGGGAAACACGTCTGCGCTCCAACGCTTTCAACCTCGTCATTTATGGACTTCCTAATGTAGTGGTTATATGAAGAACTGCAGGTGTGTGTGTGTGTGACTGAACCTCAGCAAAACACTCTGACAGAAGAATCAGTTTGTGATCATTACGACGGTCTGCTTTAAAGCCAGATTACGATCAGATGTGACGATGTTCATCTTTTATTGTTGCTGCTGTCAAACTATTATTGATGATCCCAAACTCTTCAGTAATAAATGATGAAGTGCAGTCGTGTGGTCATGTGACTTTCTCCACTATAAACAGGGTTCATACGAGACGCTTAAAGTGCCTGAACTTCTTGAACGTATTTTAGACTTTTTATTTGTTTTTATAATGCAAAAAATAAAAATAATAATAATTTAATTGATTTTTTTTAAGAAAAACTCCCATTTTTGGCCCCAAACGAACTGGTTTATAGTGTGCATGTGCTTTATTAAAAACAGGGATTTCCAAAAGAAACATCAGGAAACACAGAAGATCCAGATGATGACAAAACTAAGAAAAATTCATTCAGATCAATGGGTGAAATATGAATATTTCCAAGGCTGCGTTTATTTGATTAAAAATACAGTAAAATAGTGAAATATTGTTATAATGTAAATCATCTGTTTTCTATGTGAATATCCAGTAAAGTGTAATTTATTCCTGAATTTATCATCATTACTCCAGTCTTCAGTGTCACATGATCCTTCACAAATCACTCTAATATGAGGATCTGATGATCAATAATCATTTATGATTATAATCAATGTTTAAAATATTCACTGACAATTTTGACTTCAATTTTGAATTATTATATTTAACATAATTTTGAATTTGTTTTTATTTTTATATTGTCCATTTTAAAGTTTTAGTCATCTTGTTCTTGATTTTTAATTAAAATTAAAAAATATTTTTTATTATTTTTTATATATTTTTTAAAAATAGTTTATTAATTTGACTATTTTATTTCAGTTAATGTCTATTTTTATTAATTTAAGCATTCAGTTTTGTTTTAGCTTTAGTTGAACTAATAACTCTTGTAAGGAAAAATGCATGGGCTTCTATGTTTATTGGTCAATTGCACTCATCTTTCATTAGACTGATCCTGGGGCGTGTGTGTGTGTGCAAACCTGCTGTTTTCAGTGTTTATGAAGCAGTTTTGGAGGTTTGATTGACAGCCGAGGAGTGTGTGATGAGGTCTCTGTGTGTTACGCCCTCGTCTAGTAAGACCAGGACGCAGAGAAATTGTTTTCTCAAACTTTTTATTTTCCGTATCACAGGTGGAAAACACATTTCAGGGGTGAGTATACCCAAAACAACTCACAAATAAATCCAGTTTATGTCTAAAAGCGGACTTAAACACAGCCTTGCTCAAAGCAAACAGGAAGTCAGATTTATAACACAGAATGATCAACGAAAAGGAGGAAGGTGTGTGTGTACAGATAATGACGTAATGATGCAAACACATACTCGAATCTCCTGCTGAAATCCACTGGAGTTAAAAACATTATTCCATGCGTACCGCTTTGAATCGAGCTACGGCAAGCAGAGAGCGATGAACACTGGCTGGTCATGTATTTTCTCAAATATGTATTTTTTGGAGGATTTCAGCTTTAAAAACCTCTAAAATATTAACAAAATTAAACAAGACTTATGAGGCTGGCTTCATCCAGTGTTCAGATGTATGCATATAAGTGTATATTTAATTAGATTGTGGTTCATATTTAATTATAAAATTTCAGAGAACTTTATACAAAATGAGATACAATGCACTGTGTTTAATCAACTGGGGGGAAGTATGGTGACGTGTATTAGTAACATTTTTAAAGTGACATTTTTCCCTATCCAGTCCACCTGTGGCATTAATTAAATAATGTTATAAATAAAGTTATAACTAGTCTAAATTCCATTAAAGCGTGTCATTTATCACACCGTTCTGCTGTTTGGCCCTCTGGAATCCTCATTTCCTCGTGAGACTGCGTGTTTTTTCGGCGTTATTGATCACCGGTGTTCACTTTATCCCAGAAACTGTGCTCTGATGCTGTGGTCGGGACGGACACTATTGTGCGCTCTGTAATGGTTTCGCTCTCGGGGGACGCTGAGCTGAGCGCTGGCCCACTGCTACAGACCAACAACGCTGGAACGTTCGCACACACCGGATAAATTGGCTAAACTGAGATGTTGTAAATTGCTGTGTGTGTGTGTGTGACAGCAGAATGGAGTCCGGCTTATGAAATGTTAATACTGTCAAGTCAGCTTTATTTACAGTGGTGTGAATAAGTTTGGACACCCATGCTTAAGTTGCCTAAAAAGAGGAATAAAAAATCATCTTTTGGATATTGATCTTAATGCCTTAATTAGAAAAATGAGGAAAACTCCAACCTTTAAGGACACCAATTTTCTTTGTGAATGAATAATGTATCATAAATAAATAAATCTTTTCCTTAAAATACAGGGTGCATAAGTCAGGGCACCCCTATGTTAAATTCCCATAGAGTCAGGCAGATTTATATTTTTAAAAGCCAGTTATTTCATGGATCCAGGATAATATGCATCCTGATAAAGTTCCCTTGGCCTTTGGGATTAAAATATCCCCACATCATCACACACCTTCCACCACATCTAGAGATTGGCATGGTTTTACTTCAGTTAGCCTAATAGCTGGTTTGATTTGCATTGAAAGATGATCTTATGGAAAGTACCCCGTGCCAATCTCTAGGTGTGGTGAAGGTGTGTGATGATGTGGGGATATTTTAATCCCAAAGGCCAAGGGAACTTTATCAGGATGCATATTATCCGGGATCCATGAAATAACTAGCTTTTAAAAATAAAAATCTGCCTGACTCTATGGGAATTTAACATAGGGGTGTCCTGACTTATGCACCCTGTATTTTAAGAAAAAAACATTTATTTATTTATGATACATTATTCATTTACAAAGAAAATTTGTGTCCTTAAAGGTTTGAGTTTTCCTCATTTTTCTAATTAAGGCATTAAGATCAATATCCAAAAGATGATTTTTTATTCCTCTTTTTAGGCAACTTTAGCATGGGTGTCCAAACTTATTCACATCACTGTATGTATTCATCTATGCTAATGTTAGTTAAATCTTCACATAACTCTTCATAGTTCATGCCAACTAAATAATATTAACAGATACAACTTTTGATTTTAATAATGTATTAGTAAATGCTTTAGAAGTATTTTTCATTGTTAACTAACAAATTAAACCTTATTGTTTAGAGTTATCGAAATCATTTGGTGTTTCTGAAGTTTTGCTGTATATTAATCACCGTCCACCTGTGTGGAAAAGAGTCTCACACACGTTCATCAGTCGGAATGAATCGACTCATATTTGTGTTTTCAAGCCGAACACGAGTAACCCTGTGAACGGATTACTGATCTCCTGATAGCCTTAAGAGTGTGTTTGAGAGAGAGAGAGAGAGATGAGAATGTTTTCCAGTCAGAAACCAAAGTGCTGATTCGTTGAAGCCGATGTGAGTGTGTTCACAGACTCGTGGGTTTCTTCCACCTTACCTTTCGCAGTCAGTGAAGAAGCGTAATGATGTTGATGGTCTGATGATCACGAGAGAATGAGAGTTTGATTCCAGCTTATTCAAACGTTCATAAATCCTCCTCGAATGGCAGGGTCGCTTTATGAACATTTCCGTTGCGTGACGTAGGATGAGTGTGTGTTCTCTAAAGGAAAACATTCAAATCAAATGTTTCATGAGGTGTTGAGCTGAACCCTCCTCTGACATCTGCATTAGGGTAGTTTATGTTAGCATTCATTTATCTTGTTTCCAAACCGGTCCGAGTCCCACGGCAATGTGACGTACACAAAATATCGCTGTAAATATTGGGAATGGAATGGCTGAATCTTTTGGTAAATAAAAAAAGAATTAGATGACATTAGATCTGGTTGCTAAGGTGTTCTGTGTGGTTGCCAGGGTGTTGATGGGATGTTCTGTGTTGCTGATGTCCTGTGTGGTTACTAAGGTGTTCTGTGTGGTTGCCAGGGTGTTGATGGGATGTTCTGTGTTGCTGATGTCCTGTGTGGTTACTAAGGTGTTCTGTGTGGTTGCCAGGGTGTTGATGGGATGTTCTGTGTTGCTGATGTCCTGTGTGGTTACTAAGGTGTTCTGTGTGGTTGCCAGGGTGTTGATGGGATGTTCTGTGTTGCTGAGTTGTCCTGTGTGGTTACTAAGGTGTTCTGTGTGGTTGCCAGGGTGTTGATGGGATGTTCTGTGTTGCTGAGGTGTCCTGTGTGGTTGCTAAGGTGTTCTCTGTTTTCCCACATCACAGAGATCAGAGTCAGAATACGGAAATCACACAATCCGTAAGAGGCTGTTCTGTGTGTCCCATTACCGTTTATAAGCTCTCAGTGCGTCATGATCCCAAACCTTCTAAAGTGGAGGAATAAATCGAACGGACTTGAGGGCCCGTAAAGGAATGTTCCGGGTTTAATCCGAGTTAAACTCTTTCTTTCAACAGCGTTTGTGACATATTAGAAATGTCAAAGCAGGGTTATTATTGTCAGCTAAAACTAAAACCAAAAAAAAAAAAAATGTATTACTTTAAATAAAATTAATATTAATTAAAATTAAATAATTAAACATTCTCAACTAGTTGCCAACACAACATTTCTTATTTTTATTTAGTTTAATTCGATGTACTAAAATTACTGAAACTAAATAAATTAAAAATAAAACCATAAGTTTTAATTACTTGAAATAAATTAACATTAACTTAAATAAAATATTAAATAGAATTGTTTGTTTTTTTCAGATGGAAATTAGAAACATTTCTACATGTTAGAAACAAGAACAAAAATGTTATTATTTAAATATATTCTGAACTAGTTGCCAACACAAAATTTCTTATTTTTATTTAGTTTAAGTTGAAGTGCTAAATAAACTAAAAGTTAATAAAAACTATATAGACATATTAAGAATAATATAAATTACCCAACACACAACTAAATTACTAAAACTGTCAATGTCGTGTGAATGCATCAACTGATCTAATGTTTTCTTTTAATTCAATGTAAGTTGCTTAAGATAAAAGCTTCTGTCAAATGCATTAATGTAAATATCGAAATCAAATGCCGTATTAAACCCAGAACATTCTTTGGATTTATTCCTTATTATTGTCCTGGCTGTCCCCGTTAAAAGTCCAGTTATGCCCAGAAAATATACTTTCTCTGTTTTGCACATCCTTTACTCGAGTTCTCCCTCTCGGATAGA